TTTGTGGGGGAGGGAGGCTCTTTATATATTACCTGTCTTGAAGCTTTTTTTAATTGTTTCTTGCATTGCCCTCTGCTTTTTGCTTGGTGGAAAAACAGCCGGTGGTTAAAATTTGATTTACAGTCATTTCTATCCCAAAAAGAGCTTCTGCACAAATTCTTAACATTTTATTTTATTTTATTTTACTTTAACTTTACTTTAACTTTACTTTATTTCAACTTTATTTTAACTTTACTTTATTTAACTTTACTTTAACTTTACTTTACTTTACCTTTACTTTACTTTACCTTTACTTTAACTTTACTTTACTATAACTTTACTATAACTTTACTTTACTTTAACTTTACTTTACTATAACTTTACTTTACTATAACTTTACTTTACTTTACTATAATTTTACTTTACTATAACTTTACTTTAACTTTACTTTATTTTACTAGATAGATAGATAGATAGATAATCAGCCATCCCTCTATCACAGGGTAACTCTGGGCAGCTTATAATACACGTAGTCCTCAAGTTATAATAGTTTGTTTAGTGACCATTTAAAGTTACAACGGCATTAAAAAGTGACTTATGACCATTATATCATCCCCCCAGTCAGGTGATCAAAATTCAGACGCTTGGCAACTGGTTTGTGTTTATGACGGTCGCAGCGTCCTGGGGTCAAGTGACCCCCTTTTGCGACCTCCTGATCAGCAAAGTCAACTGGAAAGCCGGGTTCACTTAACAACTGTGTTACTAACTCAACAATTGCAGTGATTCACTTTACAACTTTGACACAAAAAGGCTGTCACAATGGGGCAAAAACTCACTTAACAAAGGTCTTGCTTAGCAATATAAATTCTGGGGCTCAGTTGGGGTTGTTAGTCAAGGGCTACTTGTATGAAAAAGCTAAAACTGCACACCACCTATAAACCATACAAGTAAGATACTCTAAAAATAGAAACACTTTTAAAATGTATGTCAAAAACATTGTTTTTTCTGATGGGCTGATAGCTCCACTTTTGCACCAGGCCATTTTCCGTTCATTCCTATTGCCCCCCCAACACACACACACACACACACACCCAGGTTGGATGTTAATTGCACACTTATGCACACAGAACCACACAAAGGCAATTCGTTCCCTTTGCCTCTGCTGCCCTGTCCAGTTTAAGGGAATGATGTTAACTGCCCCGGGGCAGTTGCTCTGCAAATACCTCTGACCTCAACTGGTTTTTGTAACCCCCCCCCTTACCCCTATGTGGGCCATTCTAGATAAGGGGCAGCGGTGACAGCATCAGGAGCTCTGGAAGTGACACGCAGAATCTCCAGCAAGGAAGTGGGGGACAGGAAGAACCAAAAAAGGCCAAGCCAACTTCCCACCACCGCTTGCAAACTTTATTTTGTCTAACGGGGAAAGAAAGAGGAAAAAAATTGAGGTTCTTCTAAGACAGGGGTCTTTAAATTGGGCCCTTTTGTGACTTGTGGAATTCAGCTCCCAGAATTCCTCAGTCGGCCATTTTGATGAAACTGCAGACTTGGATCCAGACCAGAGGTCTTCAGACTTGGCCCTTTTATGACTGGTGGACCTCAACTCCCAGAATCCCTCAGCCAGTGTGCCTGGCTGAGGAATTCTGGGAGTTGAAGTCCACAAATTCTAAAAGGGCCAAGATTGAAGACCCCTGTTCTAAGACAAGACTCTCCAAATAGGGCAACTATACGGACTTGTGGACTTTGATTCCCAGAATTCCTGGCTGAGGAATTCTGGGAGTTGAAGTTCCAGAAGTTGTAAAGTCACCCAGTTTGGAGATCTCAGCGGGAGTTTCATAATCTTGAAGCCTGTTTTCCCATTGATGGGGGAGACAATTTTAATCAGAACAGCAGCCTCGTTAGAAGGTAAATTTCCTCTTGAGTAGACCTTCCAGGCTAGTCATTTCATGAAAGATCCAGATAGATCTCGGCAGCATTTGTGGATATGGGTGCTCTGGCCTTCTACCAGGACTCTGGGATCTCCTGGTGGTCTCCCAACCAAGGACTCCCATGGCCCAATCAAATTTTGCTTTTCTATGGCCATGGCAGGGCATAGCTGCTGCTTTGCAAAGGAAATTATTTTTATTTCTTTGTTCGTATCCCGCACTTATTAGTTTAACAAATAACTCAAGGCCATGATCATATCCAACTTACCTTCCTCCTCCTCCTAAATTCGCCACAACAACTTTGTGAGGTGGGCTGGGCCAGGCTGAGAGAGAGAGGGATTGGCCCAACTCAGTTGGCTTTCACAGCTAAGGCGGGACTAGAACTCGCTGTTTCCTGCTGATTGGTACAAATCAGCCAGTCAGCTTTCATCCTTTCAGGACTAGAACTCACTATCTCCTGGCAATTGGCATCGCCCAACCAGCTTTCGTGGCTAAGGCGGGACTAGAACTCACAGTCACCTGCTGATTGGCCCAAACTTACCCAGCTAACTTTCATCCCTAAGGTGGAACCAGAACTCACGATCTCCCAGTGCAGGAGTAGGCCACCTTGGCTCTTTTATGACTCGTGGACTTCAACTCCCAGAATTCCTGAGCCAGCCGTGCTGAGGGGAAAGGGAGAGATTTCCAAGCTGAGCCAGGCTGGCTCAGGAATTCTGGGAGTTGAAGTCCACGAGTCATGAAGGGGCCATAGTTCCACCATGCTGGCTCAGGAATTCTGGCAGTTGAAGTCCACAAGTCATGAAGGGGCCATAGTTCCCCCATGCTGGCTGAGGAGTTCTGGGAGTTGAAGTCCACGAGTCATGAAGGGGCCATAGTTCCCCCATGCTGGCTCAGGAATTCTGGGAGTTGAAGTCCACGAGTCATAAAAGAGCCAAGGTTGCCTACTCCTGTCCTCGTGATTGACAAATCACCCAGTCACCTTTCGTGCTTAAGGCGGAACTAGAACTCACCGTCTCCTGGTAATTGGTGCGAAGTCCCCCAGCCGGCTTTCATTCCTAAGACAGGACTAGAACTCACCGTCTCCCGTTTCCTAGCCTGATGCCTTCACCTGGCTAAAATTATCCCAGGAGAACGAAAGGTTGAAGCGAGCCAAGGGCTATGAAACTCGGCTAAATGCAAGCATATACACACACATGCGCTCCCTGGCCAGAATTTAACAAACCACAGCTGCATTCAGAGAGATCATAAACTCCTGTAAACTGTGAACTGCACAGAGTCAGTTCGAAAGGAGAAGGGCGACAAATACATTTAATAAATAAATAAGCAAACAGGAAAGTCCCCCTGTGGCTGCACTCACACGACAAGTTTAACCAAGCCAGGTCAGGTTAAACCCCGTGTTTGCCTTCACCCAAAAGGCAGCGCGAAAGCTGGTTTAAGCCTCACCTTGGTTACTGGCGTGCTCAAGCTATTAGTTAACCCCGAAGGGGGGAGTACATCAAGAACCAGTCAAAGTGTCTTGCAAGGTAAGCTGGCTCCTTCATCATTTCAGAATAACAAGAGTTGGAAGGGACCTTGGAGGTCATCTAGTCCAACCCTCCACCCAAGCCATTTCTGACAGATGGCAGTCGAGTCTCTTCTTGAAAGCTCCCAATGATGAAGTGCCCACAATTTCTGGAGGCAACTCCTGTTCCACTGGTTGATTGTTCTCACTCATTTGATGACCCGCAGACGGTAGCTGGCTTCCCACAACCACCTGAGCCTCAACTTGTGAGAATCACAGCAGCTGATCTTGGAGAAGATTTGGGTGTCCTGAGTCTTGGGAGAGGGGGTGGTGGTCTGCCATTGCTTCCCCCCTCCCAATTTCTAGGGCAGTCAGCATCCTCTGGGTCTCTGGATTTTGCAGTGTGGGGTCTGCAATGTTTGTGTGTGTGTGTGTGTGTGTGTGTGTGTGTGTGTACACAGAATCCCTTGAAACAGTTTGAGGTCCTTTCCTTAGGATCTCACCATCTTCCTTTCTGGCTCCTTGGATCCCCTGAAGACAAAAAGGGTTGGGGGGGGGGCAAATGAGCAATCCTATGATACCTTGATTAAGATTCTGCCCCCCTTAATTAGAGATCCCTGGGGGGGGGGACACACTGGGAATTTCCCAACCAACAATTGGGGAGAACAACCTCCCTTGGGTCAATGGGAATTTAATCCAATTTTTAAGTATTCCCCCATCCCACCCCTGGAATTTGAGACATTAGGGAAAGAAAGAAAGAAAGAAAGAAAGAAAGAAAGAAAGAAAGAAAGAAAGAAAGAAAGAAAGAAAGAAAGAAAGAAAGAAAGGGGGGGAGGCAGAAAAAGAAAGATTTAAAAAGAAATAAATTGAAAGAAAGAAAAAGGAAGGAAGGAACGAAGCAACGAAGGAATGAAGAGGGAGGGAGGGAGAAAAAGAAAGATTTAAAAAGAAATAAATTGAAGGAAGGAAGGAAAGAAGGAAGGAAGGGGAGGGGGAGGCAGAAAAAAAGATTTAAAAAGAAATAAATTGAAAGAAAGAAAGAAAGAAAGAAAGAAAGAAAGAAAGAAAGAAGGGGGAAGGAGAAAAAGAAGGATTTAAAAAGAAATAAATTGAAGGAAGGAAGGAAGGAAGGAAGGAAGGAAAGGGGAGCGAGAGGGAGAGAAAGAAAGAAAGAAAAAAGAAAGAAAGAAAGAAAGAAAGAAAGAAAGAAAGAAAATGAGCAGGAGAAGAAGACTGCCGGGGGGGGGAGGAGAGAAGGGGCTCTTAAGCCCAACTTTTTGCCAGCCTTCCCCAACTCAAGGCGTTTGCAAGCGTTGGAGGGACTCCCACGCCCATGGTGCCCGGCCGTGCGGGGATCTCGAGAGCGGAAGCCCAAGTCTCTTGCCAGCGCCAGGTCGGAGCTGAGCTGAGCTTCGGCCCCAGAGCGCCCCCTCGGGGCCCATCCCGCCCCCCCCCCCCGAGGCCAGGAGGCGGCGGGCGAGCGATTGATCGCTGGATCGCGACGCCTCCCCCCCTCCTTCTTCCCCCCCCCCCCGCCGGCCGGGGCGGAGGATGCCGTCGGTGCGTCACCTGCAGGTTGCTTATATAAGGCGCGGAAAGCGATGCCGGCGCTGCGAGCGAATCCGGCTAAGCAGACAAGCGCGGCTTGACCAGACGCTCTTGTGGCAAAGCGCCCGGCTCGACTCGGCTCTGTTCGTCTCAGCGGTCCGCGCCGTCGAGGATTCTCTCTCTCGCTCTCTCGCTCGCTCTCTCTCTCTGCCGGCGCCTGCGCAGCCCGGGATGTTCGTCTCCCGCCTGGCGGCCAGCGGGCTGCTGCTCCTGGCCCTGCTGGCGGTCTCGCTCGACGGGAAGCCGGTGCAGCAGTGGTCGCAGAACTGGCCGGCTCCTCAGATTCCGCCGCTGGTGGTGCAGGAGTGGCCGCCGGGTCATTATATTCTGCCGCTAGTGGTGCAGAACTGGAAGTCGCCGACGCAGCTGCAGGCCCGCGAGGTGAGTCGTCGGCGGGCTCCGCTGGCTCGCCTGGGCTTTGCTCGACGGGGCCCCGGGCCTGCTTTGGCTCCGTCTGGGGGGGAGGCGGGAGGGCGCTTGGCGGGACTGTAGTCCCCTCTCCGGGTTAGGAATCCCGGAGAGGGGACTACAGTTCCCATCAGCTCCTCTTAAGCTGGCCATTGCAGCCGGGGAGCGCCCGGATGGAGCGAAGGGGCCGCTGGGTGGGGGGAACGGACGGCGGGACCCCCCCTTTTTTCCCCCCTGTACCCGCCCCGTCAGATCCGTTTTCCTGCAAACCCCCTGCACGACTCTTCCCCCCTTTTCCTCCACGCTCCCCTCCCCCCTCGCGATCCGGCCTTCGGGGAACGGGCGTCCCTCGTCCCCGGCGTCGGGCTGCCGTCCGGGGGAGCGGCTCTGCCGCATGACTGCCGTTGCCTTGCAGAGTCCGGCGAGCGGAACGACGGCCTTGCGGGAGGAGCTGAGCCTGGGGCCCGAAGCGGCGCTGGACACCCCGCCTGCTGGACCAGACGTCGGGCCCAGAGGCTCGAAGGCGGCCGCTGCCCCCCAGAGGCTGTCGAAGAGCAAAGGGGCGTCGGCGACCTCGGCGGCGTCGCGGCCGATGCGAGACTTGCGCACCGACGGCAAGCAGGCGCGGCAAAACTGGGGCCGGATGGTGAACCCCGACCACCACTCAGCTGCCGGCGGCGGCGGCGGAGGAGGAGCGCGTCGTCCGAAGGGGCTGGCCAAGAAACGGGCGGGCAACGGCTGCTTCGGCCTCAAGCTCGACCGCATCGGCAGCATGAGCGGCCTGGGCTGCTGAAGCCGTCGAGGACGGCGCGAAGGCGACACCTGGCGGCGGTGAGTGGCGGCGCGCCCGGCCTCAGTGGCTCTTGCGGCGCAATGGGTCGAGCGGTGGGAAGGAGGGGAAAGGAGAAACACACACACACACACACACACACACACACACACACACACGAGATCTGGGAAGGAGGGGAAAGGAGGAAAAACACACACACACACACACACACACACACACACACACGAGATCTGGGAAGGAGGGAAAAGGAGAAAAACACACACACACACACACACACACGTGTGATCTGGGCCGGGCTGAATCAAGGTCGAGGGTTTCACCTCGGTGGTATCCGAAGCAGAACATCCAGATTCAGTCACCGCTTTGTTCCGTACGCTATCAACCTTGTGAACTCTCAAGCTTCCTCCTCCCGTTAGGTATTCAAGATGGACAGGGATTAATATTTATACGCTACTTATATGTCAGGGTGTAGGTCCGTATGTATGTTCTATATAGTATATTTAAATGTGTGTTATGTAAATGTACACTTTGAGAGCAAGCAACTAAATTTCATTTTTAATGTGCGCCATTGTGCTCACAGTAAAAAAATGACAAAGGTTTATCTATCTACCTCTACCTATGTCTAGCTACTGCATCTATATGTCTATCTGCCTCTATGCCCCCCTCTCTATCTATCATCTATCTATCTATCATCGTCTGTCTATCTATCTATCTATCTATCTATCTATCTATCTATCTATCTATCTCTAGCTACTGCATCTATATCTATCATCTATCTGCCTCTATGCCCTCTCTCATCCTATCTATCATCTATCTACCTACCTATGTATCTACCTACCTACCTATGTCTAGCTACTGCATCTATATGTCTATCATCTGCCTCTATGCCCCCCATCCTCCCTCTCTCTCTCTCTCTCTGTCTGTCTGTCTATCTATCTATCTATCTATCTGTCTAACTCTAGCTACTGCATCTATATCTGTCTATCATCTATCTGCCTCTATGCCCTCTCTCATCCTATCATCTATCTACCTATCTATGTACCTACCTATCTATCTCTACCTATGTCTAGCTACTGCATCTATGTCTATCATCTACCTGCCTCTATGCCCCCCTCATCCTATCTCTATCTATCTATCTATCTATCTATCTATCTATCTATCTATCTATCTATCTATCTAACTCTAGCTACTGCATCTATATCTGTCTATCATCTATCTGCCTCTATGCCCCTTCTTTCATCCCCCCCCCTCTCTCTCCATCCATCCATTAAAAGGCAGGGCTGTGCCTTTGCGGGTCTGCTGTTTGTCGGGATAGAGAAATTTTAGGGAGGTTGGTGATATGGGGAGGGGCACTGAAAAGACCTGGGGGGGGGGGAGCTGAGTGTTCAGACGATGTGATTTTTCCCATTTCCCGAATCTGTTTTCAGGATTCGCACACGATTTATTTACAGGCAGTCCTCAATGTCCCGCCTGCAACGGAGCCCAAAACGTCCGTTGCTAAGTGAGACATTTGTTAAGGTGAATTTTGCCCCATTTTACGACCTTTCGTGCCGCCGTAAATAGGAGTCACTGGCTAAGCGTCCGAATTCGGATCGCGTGACTGTGATCAAACTGCATGGTGGTGAAAAAATGGTGATGCAACTTTTTTCAGTGCTGTTGCAACTTAGAACAGTCGTTCAGGGAACTGTTGTAAGTTGAGGATTACCTGTATTTGTTGTTTGTTTATTTGTTTATTAAATTTATTAGCTGCCCATCTCATTGCGAAAGGATTCTGGGACAATGGGACTGTAAAATAATGAACTCACTAAGGTTTGCCTGGCTGTAAAACTGGAAGGAATCCAAGCTAGGCGTGTTGGGAAGTAGCTGTCAACTGACCTGGGTTAAGTGTATTGTGTGAACAGAGCCTGGGATGGATGGTCCATTATCCTGCCTTTCTTGTAGATGGTAGTGTTGCAGCAGGGAGAGTCCTTGGTGTGTCAGATGATGGACTCTGTAGTTTTTGAGCTACAGAGTGTTGTTCCCATAAACCTGAGAGTGCACTTGTTAAAACCCGCTGGGAATGCTGGGAGCTGAAGTCTTGAACAACTGGAAGGATTCAAGTTGTGGAAGGATAGTCTGGAACAGTTTTTCTGGAGCTGAGCAACTTTAAGATGGGTGGACTTCAACTCCCAGAATTCCCCAGCCAGCACAGCTGGCTGGGGAATTCTGGGAGTTGTAGTCCACCCATCTTAAAGTTGCTCAACAACTTTATGATTTTGCAGACCACACAACATTAATTCCTGATTTGAGGCAAGCTCAGATCTGGAACTAATATAAGTTTCTGAGTAGCCAGTTGTGGACGCTTTAACTTTCCCCTTTTTCCCCCTTATTTGTGAAATTTATTTGCTGCCCATCTCGTATCCAACAACTCCGCCTGGCTTACAGTATAAAAACAGGAACACAACAAAACATTTTGGCCCAGCAGAGGTGTTAACACTGAGAAGGAACCCCCATTGGTCTGTTTCCAGAGCTGAGTAGTTGTGCAAACTGCCAATCCTGATTTTAGTATGTAAAAACTCTGACTAGAACGCGCTGAAGTAACGAGACGAGGTTGGCTGTGTTCACATGAAACACTGATCCGGGTTGTATAAACACAGGACTAGCCCTATTGCTGGCACTTCTCCAGTTGTTTGAGTGACAGGTTTAGAGACTGACAACCCAGTCTTCTACACAGGTAGTCCTCAGCTTACGACAGTTCATTTAGTGGCTGAGCAAGGGGTTGGAATAGATGACCTCCAAGGTCCCTTCCAACTTTATTATTTTAGGGACCTATGACCGTATTTCACACTTACAACCGTTGCAGCAACTCCGCGGTCACGTGATCAAAATTCAGTCCCTTAGCCACTGATTCGTATTTATGATGGTTGTGGCGTCCCGGGGTCACACGATCCCCTTTTGCGACCTTCTTACCATTGAAGTCAATGGGGAAGCCAGATTCGCTTAACAACTGCGTCACTAATTTAGCCACACGTTAACAAAGGTGGAAAGAAATGTTGTAAAACGGGGCAAAATTCACTGCCACCGTTTTTTAAATTTATGTACCGCTCCTCCCGGTCAGCCTGCAAGCCTCGTTAAAAACAAGGTGCCAAGCATTAAATATTAAAATCGGAGATTATGAAATAAGGTGGTTTTTTTTAAAAAAAAGAAAGAAAAAGAAAGAAAAAGCCAATTTTAAGACAGAACACGCATTTCTCTTAAAAGTGTTCACATTCAAGGCTGGGAACCCTGCAGCTGGCATAGCCAGCAGGGAAGTTATTTTATAACCTGTTCAATCTCGGTAGGAAAACCCACTGCCAATTTTGCACCAAAACTCTTGATTCTCCCCCACGATCCTCAAACGGAAGCCGATAAAATTTCTCTAGGGCTGGAAGACTCGGTAAGAAGGGCTTCCCACCCCAGGAAAAAGGCAGAATTTGGGGTCCCAGACATTTTTCGAGCAATGTCTCGAATCCCAAAACCACAACTGTGCGACAGGGTGGCGCATTTTTTTTTTCCACCCCTTAAAAACAATCCTCCGATTTGGCCTCCACCTGTTTCTGGCTAAATGAGGCACTGGGCGTAATTATAGTCGGCCTGGTTAGCTTTCTAACCAGCCGGCTGGAAAAAGTTTATTTCTCCATTTAAAATAAAATACGTATAAATATATACAGACGGCTTTTGCGAGCGCTTCTTGCACATCTGCTACATAGCAGAGATGGTTCCAGCCCCAAATTGGCGTGAGAAAAAAAAAAAACTATAAACAAAAGAGGATTGATCCCAGCATGAAAATGTCTTTACTGGCTGCGTTTATTTTATTAATTGTTTATTTCAAGCGTCTGCACGCCACGCTTCCCGCCTAGATTTCTCCCATCGTCCTCAGATAATGCCATTGTGCGTGATGGTAGCGGTGATCGAGGATATTTAAGCAGATCTGGAAATCCTGCAGTGCAGATTTACCTCCAGTAAAATTCCCACTGACTAGGCAGAGATTTGAATACAGGTAGTCCTCGCCTTAGGACCGCAACGGAGCACAAAATTTAGGTTGCTAAGCGAGACATTTATTAAGTGAGTTTTGCCCCCGTTTGACGATCTTTCTTGCCGCAGTTGTTAAATGAATCACTCTAGTTGATAACTTAGTAACCTGGGTGTTAAGTGAATCTGGCTTCCCCCGTGACTTCGAACCGTCACTAAACGAACTCGAGAAGTCCCTGTAGCGGCCGAAACGCTTCTTAAGGAATCTTTTCACTTGTTTTTTTTTTTTTTTTCCATGACTCAAGACCAAATTAATTTCTTTTAAGCTGCCAAATTGCCAGGTTTTGTTTTGTTTTTGTTTGTTTCTTTGTTTCTTATAGCAATGCCTGCAGAAATTCTGGACAGGTGCTTCTCTAATCTTCCCCACGGAGGTTATTCTGGTTTTTTTTTTTTTAGGTCTTAATTAAGTCTTTATTAAAAGGCTGCCGAATATGAAGACAGCTTTTTATAGCTGCAAATCTGGTTTGGGAAAATCCCTGGCAAAGCAGAAAAAGCTTAAAAACGGGATGACATGAAATATTGAGCGAACATCTGGAAGGAAGGTCAGCTTAGACCTGGGTTTTCCAAACCTTGGCAGCTTGGACTTCAACTCCCAGAATTCCCCAGCCAGCGTGCCTGGCTGAGGAATTCTGGGAGTTGAAGTCCCCAAATCATAAACGGGCCACGTTTAAAGACCCCTGGCGTAGACTGTTATTAACCTACAGGTAGTCCTCAGCTTAACGACCACAATTGAGCCTGACCTCTCTGTTGTTAAACGAGACACTTGCCAAGTGAATTTTGTCCGTTTTACGACCTTTCTTCCCCCGTTGTTAAATTTAATCATTGCAGGTGTTAAATTAGTAACACAATTGTGAAGGGAATCTGGCTTCCCCGTGGACTTTGCTCGTCAAAAGGTCACCCGAAAAGGGGATCCCGTGATCCGCCGGGGACACTGCAGCCGTCATAAATAGGAGTCTGTTGACAAGCATCGGGATTTTGATCACGTAACTATGGAGATGCCGCAACGGTTGTTAAATGTGGGGAAAATTCCCCCCCCCTTTTTTTTTTCCAATGCCCTTGGTAACTTTGCAAGTCCCTTTTTTTTCAGGGCCGTTGCAACTTCGAACGGTCAGTAAATGAACTGTTGTAAGTTGAGGAGTCGCTGTATTCAGGTTGACAGTAGGGAAGATTCGGTTACTTTGGAGAGAAACCGCAAAGCGAAAACAGGAGTGGCATGTGAGCATCCTAAATTTAGGGCCTCTTCATCAACCAGACTGATGCCGGGAGCGAATTGCTTTGCTTAGCAACCGCTTGTGCACAAAAAGTTGTTTGTCTACGGAAGGTCCCTGTGTGAATTGGACAAAGGGTTTTTGTGTGTGTGTGTGTGTGTGTGTCGGTGGAACTTTTTGAAAAGAGCAGGGATTGCATTCACGATTCCCTCTTTGAAGTGGATAAAAGAAGGAAGCTCTTTTGGGGGGGGGGAATTAGCCATGCTCGCACGCTCAGTGTCGTGGTTGCGACATAGTTGTCAGTGCAACTTGTTCACCTGCGATGCTCAGAAAGATGAACTCTGCCTTCTCAAGGGTTAATCCATTAGCATTCGGGGTCTCTGGGACCCACATTTTCCCACTTAATTAAAAAATTTAGTTAACCACAACTTCGGACGTTGCGGGGGCTCCATCACTGGAGGTTTTTAAGAAGAGGCTGGACAGCCAGTTGTCTGGAATGGTAGAGGGTCTCCTGCTTGAGCAGGGGGTTGGACTAGATGACCTCCAAGGTCCCTTCCAGCCCTGTGATTCTATGATTCTGAGATAGATAAATAAGATACATGATAGACGGACGGATGGAAGGAAGAGCTTGCCTCTAGAAGTTGTGGCTGCTCCAATACTGGAGGTTTTGAAGAAGAGACTGGACAGCCATTTGTCTGAAATGGTATAAGGCAGCGGTTCTCAACCTGTGGGTCGGGACCCCATTTGGGGTCGAACGACCATTTCACGGGGGTCGCCAAACAACGCAGTCCGCCATTTTTTTCCCCCTTTTCCTTAGCTGTGCTACTCCCTTTTATTCTATTGGCTTTTGAAAGCCAATAGAATGGACTCTCTTGAATAGAGTCTAATTCTATTGACTTTCCAAAGCCAATAGGAATTGTCCAGGCTGTCTCTGCCCTGCTGAGCCCGCCAAAAGTCCCATTCTACAAACGATGCTGCACCAATTGTCCTCGACTTACGACCAGTTGAGTAGTCCTCGACTTACGACCGGTTGAGAGTCGCGGCATTAAAAAGGTTGAGAACCACTGGTATAGGGTCTCCTGCTTGAGCAGGGGGTTGGACTAGAAGACCTCCAAGGTCCCTACCAGCTCTATGATTCTATGATTCTGAGATAAATAAGATGGGTGGGTGGGTGGGTGGGTGGGTGGGTGGGTGGGTGGGTGGAAGGAAGGAAGGAAGGAAGAAAGGAAGGAGGGAGGGAAGGAAGGAAGGAGGGAAGGAAGGAAGGGCTTGCCTCCAGGTGCTCCGATACTGGAGGTTATTAAGAAGAGACTGGATAGTCACTTTTCTGGAATGGTAGAGGTCTCCTACTTGAGCAGGCGGGGGGGGGCTGGACTAGAAGACCTCCAAAGTCCCTTCAAACTCTGTTAGCGTGTTAATGATTGGTGTGCATGGGGATGAAGTCAATTGAAGCTTCTTTTAGTGACTTGCAATCTCATGAGAATAAGACCTGATGGAGAAGGTTCAGCTGTGGAGGGGGTTGGGCTAGAGGATCTCCAAGGCCCCTTCCAGCTTCTATTCTGATTGATTAAACTCCCACCCTCCCTCAGAATACAAGCAAGCAAGCAAGCAGTTCTCTGGGTGCACATCTCCTAACTCCTAAAGTCTAATAAGAGATTTAAACTAAGATGAACATTTCACAAGGAGACCTCGTCTTAACAAGCATTCATTCAGTGACCATTTGAAGTTAAAATGGCACTGGGAAAAAAGTGACTTATGACCATGTTTCATACTTATAACGGTTGCAGCATCTCCACAATCACCTGATCAAAATTCAGACACTGGGTAAACTGGCATATATTTATGTTGGCTGCAGCGTCCCAGGGTGTGTATGTATCGCGTGATCCCTTTTGCGACCTTCCAACATGCCAAGTCAAATGGGGAAGCCAGATTCGCTTAACAACTGTGTTACTAAGTTAGTAACTGCTGTGAGTCACGTAACAACTGTGGCAAGAAAGGTTGCAAAATGGGGCCAAACTCCGTTAACAAACGCTCGGTCTCAGGGGATCCCCATTTCTGACCTTCCCAGATGGCTTCGGAAAAGCAAAGTCAACGGGGGAAGCCAGGTTCGCTTAACGACCGTACGACTCACTTCGCAACCGAAGCGATTCGCTTAACGGCTGTGGCAAAAAAGGTTGTAAAATGGGGCAAAAAACAACTGCCTTGCTTGGTAATGGAAATTTTGGGTTTCGTTTGTGGTCATAAATTGGGGGCTGCCTGCACTAAATTGCGGCAGAAGGAGGCTCCACTACTAAGAGATTAGATTTGGTTGTAGTGAGGGAGCAACAGAGATAAACATCCTCTTATTTTAGTTATTTTAAAGCAGGGGTCTTCAAACTTGGCCCTTTTAGGACTTGTGGACTTCAACTCCCAGAATTCCTCAGCCAGCATGTCCACAAGTCCTAAAAGGGCCAAGTTTGAAGGCCCCGCTAACAAACAAAATGGAGGCTGGCTGAGGAATTCTGGGAGTTCAAGTCCACAAGTCCTAAAAGGGCCACGTTTGAAGGCCCCGCTAACAAACAAAATGGAGGCTGGCTGAGGAATTCTGGGAGTTGAAGTCCACAAGTCCTAAAAGGGCCAAGTTTGAAGGTCCCTCTAACAAACAAAATGGAGGCTGGCTGAGGAATTCTGGGAGTTGAAGTCCTAAAAGGGCCAAGTTTGAAGGCCCCCCCCCCCGTTTTAAAAGCAACACAAAAACAAAATGTTGCAATTGACTCATGTTTATGAGGGTTGCACTGGCCCCGGGATGTTGTGATCCCCTTTTGTGACCTTCTGACAAGCAAAGCCAATGGGGGAAGCCGCTTTCCACTTAACAACCGTGTTCCTAACTTAACAACTGCAGGGATTGGCTTAACACATGTGGCGAGGAAGGTCCTAAAATGGAGCAAAATCCACTCAAATAAATAAATAAACAATGCTTTGCTTAGCGAGAGTTAAAACTTGCTGATCTAGCAAGGGCCAGTCAGCCTTAGCAGTGGAAATTTCAGCCTCCGTTGTGGTTGTTAAGTCGAGGAATGACACACAAAGCCCAGATTGGAGCGCCTCCTGATTTTCATGAACATCTTTCTAGCCCTAAATCTTGTAAAAATTTATAAAATGTACCTAGAGTTATAAATAAATGAGGAAATACAGATTGGGATGAAGCTGCAAATCACAGTGACCCAACCCGCGTCACACTTACTAGCCATCAAATCTGTATAAATGAAAACTCTTAAGACATTTTTTTTTTTTTACCTCAGCGCCACACATATAAAATGGAGGTTGGGTTAAATGTGCGTGGTGCGGCCACCATTTTGACTTTTCTGACCCCAAGAGACCGGCCTTCCCCTTCTCCAAGCAAGCAAAAAGAAAGATTTGGGGTGTCCATGCTGACTTGTTTCCAAAATTGGCCTGGCTGAGAGATTGCATTTTGTTGGCCTCTGATCCAAGTTCAGACCACCTTTTAACCATCTTAGGCAAGGATCAAGCCAGTGCATTCACACAACAAGCTAAACTCCCCCTACTCTTCCTTTCCCCCTCCCGGGCTTAGATTATTGTACAAACCCCAATTTGGGGGTTAGTTTACAAAGCAATGCTTTGTGGGACCTCCGAAAGCTGATGACCTCAGTAGCCAGATTGTACGAAGGCGACCTTGCCTTGCCTGCATCTTTTACATTCAGCCTCCTGTGTGTCTAATATGGGGGGAGGTCTTTTAGAGGGTCATTGAGGCCACTTGGAGGCTTATCTGTGTCCTCAGGGCCACCTGAGTGGTGCAAATGGGCGTGGAGCCTTCTTGGAACCGCTGAAAGGACTGTGTTGTATCCCAAAGCTGCTTTTTTTCATTAGGCAACTGGACTTTGTTTTTTCTTTGAAGACGTTTCGCTTCTCATCCCAGAAGCTTCTTCAGCTCTGACTGGATGGTGGGGAATGGAAGGATTTATACGCTTTGCAGTCCGCTGGTCATTTGCCTTCTTTTAGAGGGTCGTTGAGGCCACTTGGAGGTTTATCTGTGTCCTCAGGGTCAGCTGAGCAGTGCAAATGGATGTGGAGCCTTCCTGAACTGCTGAAAGGACTCTGTTGTAGACTGGAGATAGGTGATGTCCCTGAGGACACAGACAAACCTCCAAGTGGCCTCAACCACCCTCTAAAACAGTGGTTCTCAACCTTTTTAATGCCGCGACCCCCAATCAGTCGTAAGTCGAGGACTACCCAACCGGTCGTAAGTCGAGGACTTCCCTGCCTGGGAGTGCCATGCATGTGTGGTGCCGCCTCCTGCGCCGGCCGAGGCATAACTGGCAAAAGGCAGCGACGGCGCAGGCCGACCACCGGCTACCAGCTGGCCCAGCCCAAGGGAGGTAAGGCACCCGCCGGGCCCCACACGCGCCAGCAACCTTCCCTGCGCCCGCCGGCCTCCCACCTCCCACCCCTGGCCCTCTTTTACTTACATTTTTAGTAGTTGCTCAGCAGGGAGGGGTGGAAACTTCCAGACAGCTCGCCTTCGCTGCAGACAACTTGCAGCACCGTTTGCAGAATGGGACTTTTGGCGGGCTCAGCAGGGCAGAGACAGCCTGGACAATTCCTATTGGCTTTTGAAAACCAATAGAATTAGACTCTATTCAAGAGAGTCTATTCTATTGGCTTTCAAAAGCCAAATAGAATAAAAGGGAGTAGCACAGCTAAGGAAAAGGGGGAAAAAATGGCGGACTGCATTGTTTGGTGACCCCCGTGAAATGGTCATTCGACCCCGAATGGGGTCCCGACCCACAGGCTGAGAACCGCTGCTCTAAAAGAAGGCAAATGACCAGCGGTCTGCAAGAGGAGTATAAATCCTTCCTTTCCCCACCATCCAGTCAGAACTGAAGAAGCTTCTGGGATGAGAAGCAAAATGTCTTCAAAGGAAAAAACAAGTCCAGTTGCCTCATGAAAAAGCATCTTTGGGACATTTATTGATAGGCCTTAATCTTGACGGACCACGCACAGTGGAGGATTTGTTCCTGGCCACCAATAAAGCTATTCAGACTGCTATAAAGGTAGTCCTCAACTTAAAAACAGTTCATTTAGTGACTGTTCAAAGTTGTGACAGCACTGGAAAAAAGGGAGTTAGAGCAGTGGTGGGATTCAGCCAGTTCGCACCACTTCGGCAAAACCGGTAGCTAATTTTTGGTTGCCCAGGCCCAGAATGGACTTCCAGAAGCGGCATCCACACCGAGAACCGGTTGTTCACCTATTTGAATCCCATCAGAGTTATATCCGGTTTTTTTCACTCTTATGTGCCATCGCAGCATCCCCGTGGTCACATGATCAGTGTTTGGATGCTTGGCAACTGCCTCATATTTATGACGGTCGCAGTGTCCCGGGATCACGCGATCCCCTTTGGCGACCTTCTGACCGTCAAAAGTCAATGGGGGAAGCCAGATTCACTTTACAACCGTGTTACTGACTTAACTGAAGCGATTCATTTAAGAATGGTGGCAAGGAAGGTCGTAAAACGGAGCAAAATTCATTTATAAATATTTTGCTTAGGAAGAGTTAAGTTTGGGGCTCTGTTGGGGTCGTAACCTGAGGGGCTATCTGTACTTTCTGGGCCTCAAATGCTATATAATGTCCACATAAGAGTTCTAAATGCCTTCTTTTGTTTTGATTTGTACCTTCGTTGTATAGTTATTCTAAGTTTTTTTCCCCCTTTATTATGCTAATTTAAATATTACATTCACTCTGTTTAATCTAAGACGTTTTGGACTCGGAAAATAACTATCTAAGGGATGTTGACCAGTATTTTCAACGAAGCTTAGCCCATGGTTAAAATTCACAATAATCTGTTTAAATCAGGATAGTGTAGCTCCATGCTAAAGTACCCTTTAAGCAGGTAGTTTATAGATAGTCCTTGATAGCTAACCATAATTGGGAAAAAGCTAAAGAAGTCGATAGTTCAGTGACTCTTGCCTGATTTTACGACTTTTTTTTTTTATAAAGGTTTCTAAGTGAACTGTGCAATTGCTAAGCGAATTAATCTTGGTGAATCAGCACTGTTGTTGCAAGGTTTCCAAGTTCCAATTAATCAGAACAGAGCTGGAAGGGCCCTTGGAGGTCATCTAGTCCAACCCCCTGCTCCAGCAGTACACCCTATATTATTTCAATCCAGTCTCTTCTTAAAAACCTCCAGTGATGAAACACCCACAACTTCTGGTGTGGCAAGCTGTTCCACTGGTTAATTGCCCACCCTGTTCAGAAGTTTCTCCTTGTAATTCCAGGTTGCTTCTCTCCTTGTCGGAAGCTCTTTATGACTATTTTGATGCTTTTCTTCCAGGTCTCTGAAGGGACACCCCATCCCATCCGCGGACATTTCTGGACATCTCCTGCAATTCATCCAGGGATCCCAGGCTCACACAGCCTGTCTCCTCTTGGTACGAGCACTTGAAGCAGAACCAGCCATTTTTGAGTGGGAGGGTTCTGGGTAGGGTTGGACTGAGTTTTGCGCCCCCAAATCTTCCTATCTTACCTAATATATACATAGATGCCATATATATCGATAGATACAAATACACCCAACACAAAAACACACCCGCCCACAACTTCTTCCCGCGACAAAGGACCGTTTAGGGAGACGGAGAGAACCAGCTGCGTATGCCATCCAGATTGCTGTTTGTACATTCGTGTCATGCATAAATGTATTTAAGTTGTAAAAGCTATTTATATATTGTTTATAAAGAGATATTTATAAAAAAAATTATTTATGTAAACTAAACGAAAAGGGGTCGAGCATTGTAAAGTTTTTTTTTTTTTCCCCTTCTCATCCTGAATATTCGGAAGGAAAGAAAAAAAAAAATTCATGGACAATTGGGTAGCCTGTCTTGCGTTTTAATCGGGCGCAGTCTTTTCTTTCCGAAATGGGTGGTTTGAACAAGGCTTTTAGATACCACGGATAAGAGTAAAAATGCATTTGTAAAGAAATCGCACGCTATCTACCAAAGGTGTAAAAGAACCCGACGCGCCGTTTTCGTCGTTTTTAGCAGAAATAAAAAAAAACCACTTTTCAAAAGGGTCCTCAGAATTAAACTCACTAGTCTGGAGGTGATTTATTTATTTTTATTGCTTGCTGAATTTGAGTCTGTCCTCACTTTTTGCACCAACGTATAATTTCTCTGAGAGCTGAACGAATATGGTCCTCTTCGAATGATCTTCGCTCTTCTTTAAAGCGCAAGGGTCAATTCTAAATGCAGGTGGTCCTTGATGTACGACCACAACGGAGCCCCAAATTTATGTTGTTAAGTGAGACAATCTGTTAAGTGAGTGTTGCCCCACTTTAAGACCTTTCCTGTCCCAGTGGTTAGGTGAATCACTGCAGTTGATAGGCTAGCAACCAGTTGTGAAATGAACAACTGGCTTCCCCGTTGACTTTGCTTGTCAGAAGTTTGCAAAAGGGGATCATGTGACTTTGGCACAGAGCAACGGTCATAAATTTGAAACGGTCGCCAAGCAGCAGAATTTTGATCAAGTGAGCATGGGGAGCAGTAACTGTGAGAGGGATCTCGGAGTCCTAGTGGACAATCCCTTAAACAGGAGCCAGCCGTGAGCTGCAGCTGCCAAAAAAGCCAACCCAGTGCTAGGCTGCATTAACAGGGGGAGAGAATCAAGATCAAGTGTTGATACCACTTTACAAGGCCTTGGTAAGGCCACACTTGGAATCCTGCATCCAGTTTTGGTCACCATGATGTAAAAAAGATGTTGAGATTCTAGAAGGAGTGCAGAGAAGAGCAACAAAGATGATTAGGGGACTGGAGGTTAAAACATATAAGGAACGGTTGCTGGAATTGGGTATGTCTAGTTTAATGAAGAGAAGGACGAGGGGGGACATGATAGCAGCCTTCCAGTATCTCAGGGGCTGCCCCAAAGAAGAGGGAGTCAAGCTATTTTCCAAAATGCCCGAAGGCAGGACAAGAAGCAACAGATGGAAACTCATCAAGGAGAGAAGCAACCTAGAACTAAGGAGAAACTTCCTGACAGTCAGAACAATTAACCCGTGGAACCACTTGCCTCCAGAAGCGGTGAATGCTCCAACATTGGAAGTTTTTAAGAAGAGACTGGACAGCCATTTGTCTGAAATCGTATAGGGTTTCCTGCCTGAGCAGGGGGTTGGACTAGATGACCTCCAAGGTCCCTTCCAACTTTATTATTATTATTACCATCATCATCATCATCAATCATTATTATATAAGGGCTATTGCTAATGCTAGGTGGGTGATTCCCCTCAGGAAAGCAAACAAGAACCCCTATTTTTTGAGACCTGTCGTACACTTTCCCCCAAAAGGTTTCCACAATTTTGGCCACTACTGTACATTTGTCCGAAATGGTATAGGGTTTCCTGCCTGAGATCATTTTTTTCAGTTCACTAAGTGAACTGTTTGAAGTCAAGGACTACCTATTGCTTACAACAGGGTTTCCCCAACTTGGCAACTTTAAGTGAAGTTTGCTCCCTGTTTATGTACAGGAGCTTTCCCTGCCAGAGTTGATGGGGGTGTGGTTTTCTCCTGGGTAGTTCCTTGATTAGCATATTGTTTTCACGGGGTTGTTTGTCTGGCGTTAATTCCTGCTTATCTGGGTGTCGGCTGCTGGAGATGATGGATTCTCATCTTCTTGTTTCCTTCTTAGTTTTTTTTTTATTGTCTTTTCAACGGTGTGTAAATGTGGTTTACCCCTAGGTGTCTACCACACCCCAACCAACATTGGCAGGGCAAGCCACTGTATATTAACAGGGAGCAAACACCGGCATGATGATGTTACTGGTTTGGGTGATGAAACGTTTGCAAGAAAACAGCCAAGCTCAGAGAGCACCAAGGACCCCACAGTCCTCCTCTTCCCCCTCCTCCTTTTAGCACTGATGTTATTCCCTAGTTGGGTCATGAAATGTCTGCAAGCAAACCACCCAGTTCCGAGAGTACCAAGGCCCCCACAATCCTCCTTCTCCCCCCTCCGCAAATCCTACTTCCTTCTAGCACTGATGATGTTCCCTAGTTGGGTCATGAAACGTCTGCAAGAAAATCACCCAGCTCAGAGAGCACCAAGGACCCCACAGTCCTAGTCCTCCTCCTCCTCTTCCTCCCACATCACTCTCTTCTAGCACTGATATTACCTAGTTGGGTCATGAAACGTCTGCCAGAAAACCACCAAGCTCAGAGAGCACCAAGGATCCCACAGTCGTCCTCCTTGCTACACATGCCACTCCCTTCTAGCACTGATGATGTTACCTAGTTGGGTCATGAAACATCTGCAAGAAAACAACCAAGCTCAGAGAGCACCAAGGACCCCACAGTCCTTCTCCTCCTTCTCCTCTTCCCCCTCCTCCTCTTAGCACTGATGATGTTCCCTAGTTGGGTCATGAAATGTCTGCAAGGACACCACCCAGCTCGGACAGCACCAAGGCCCCCACAATCCTCCTTCCCCCCCCTCCACAAATCCTACTTCCTTCTAGCACTGATGATGTTTCCCTAGTTGGGTCATGAAACGTCTGCAAGAAAATCACCCAGCTCCGAGAGCACCAAGGACCCCACAGTTCAGCCCTGAGCTGCAGAGATTCTCTTCTTTCGGTATCCGTCCCTCCATCCAATTGATAGACCATCCATCTCACATAGCCGACTCTGGCTGCTTGCAATTAAAGCAAGTAAAAACCACCAAAGACACCAAAAATGACATTAAAAACAGCTGGGAAGAATCACAAATGATACAGGCTGGCGCATGGTATCAGGGCCTCAGGCCTGATGGCAAAAACCAGGTGTTGAGTGCCCTGTGAACAGCCAAGGGGGGTTGGGGCAAACGCTAAACAAAGAAGAGGGGGTCAAATTATTCTCCAAAGCACCAGAGGGCAGGACAAGAAACAATGGTTGGAAACTGATCAAAGAGAGAAGCAAGCTGGAATTAAGGAGAAACTTCCCGACAGTTAACCGGTGGAACAACTTGCCACCAGAAATCGTGGGCGCTCCATCACTGGAGATTTTTAAGAAGAGGATAGACAGTCACCTGTCTGAGATGGTATAGGTTCTCCTGCTTGAGCAGGGGGCTGGACTAGAAGACCTCCAAGGTCCCTTCCAGCTCTATTCTATTCTCCCTTGTGCTCTTGAGGGAGACACCACCGCGGAAGAGATGGGTCCCATCAAAGTTTTATTCTGCAAACTAACCCAGAAAATGGGTTAGTGCAGAAGCCAGGTGAAGCATCTGGTGTGTAAACCAGAGATATCCAACCTTGGCAACTTTTAAGACAGGTGTGGACTTCAAACTCCCATTGTGTCACATTTCCTCATGCTGAAGATGCTCCGTTCTTTCCGTCGTCCTTTCCTCCCAGTGTTTTTCAGAGTTGATGACTTTTTAAGATACAGAGACATCGACTCCAGAATTTCCTGGCCAGCACTGAAGTCCTCATACCTTAAAACCGACTAGGGCAGGGGTAGGCAACCTTGGCTGTATTATGACTCGTGGACTTCAACTCCCAGAATTCCTGAGCCAGCATGGGGGAACTATGGCCCCTTCATGACTCGTGGACTTCAACTCCCAGAATGCCTCAGCCAGTGTGGGGAACTATGGCCCCTTCGTGACTTGTGGACTTCAAGTCCCAGAATTCCTGAGCCAGCCATGCTGAGGGGAAGGGAGAGGTTTCCAAGCTGAACCAGGTTGGCTCAGAAATTCTGGAAGTTGAAGTCCATGAGTCCTGAAGGGGCCATAGTTCCCCCATGCTGGCTCAGGAATTCTGGGAGTTGAAGTCTGCAAGTCATAAAAGTGCCAAGTTGCCTATCCCTGGCCTATACACTAAACCAGGGGTCTTCAAACTTGGCCCTTTTATGACTCGTGGACTTCAACTCCCAGAATTCCTGAGCCAGCATGGGGGAACTACGGCCCCTTCATGACTTGTGGACTTCAACTCCCAGAATTCCTCAGCCAGCATGGCTCAGCTTGGAACCCTTTCCCTTTCCCCACAGCATGGCTGGCTCAGGAATTCTGGGAGTCGAAGTCCATGAGTCATAAAAGAGCCAAGGTGGCCTACCCCTGCGCTAAGCGACCGGCCGTAAGGTGAGCCTACCTGTATCTGACAGGTGACCGGATTGGGGGAACCCTGGGCTTACAATGTGGGGACATTTTGGGCTGCCCGGCGAAGATCAGGAAGAAGAGAGAGGCGCACCGGCTGGAGCCCCTTCGCTTCTGTACGCAGCGGACACATCCAGATGTATTTCACTGAAAAAAAAACTGACCCACAAGCTCACCACGGGGTGAAGTTTCAGGGGTGACTATCATTTTTTTTTTTAATAGAAAACAATTCTTCGGATCAAGTCACCTTGCGCGAGTCTGTAACAGGTATCAAATTTAAAAAAAAAAAAGAAGAAGCAAAAAAAGCTGAAATGTCCAAACCGTCTTAAGAAACGTACAAAAGAAGGTGTGTGTGTGTGTGTGTGTGTGTGTGTGTGTGTCAAAGACAACTAGAAAGGAATTTCAAGTTCTCAACCTCCGTTGCCCAAATTAAGGGTTCTGGATCCGCAAAGGATGGCGGGGGGGGGGAGGAGAGGACCTCTTGGATGGATCCCCCCTGGCGCCTCACGCGCCACGTTCAAGAAGCTGCAGCAGGGAGCAAACCGGTAGCACAGAACACAAGATGGGGATGGGGGGGATGAGGGAGGAATGGGGCGCTATCCATTGGGCAGCCCTGCCTTTTGGTGGTCCAAGGTACAGAAGTGGGGCTGGAAAGGAGGTTGAAATAGCAGCTTTTTCGCTCCCCCTCCCTCCCTCCCTCCTTCCTCGGCGTCAAGGAAGTGGCCTGAGCTGTCACAGGTAGGAGCGCCTGGGCTTCGAAGGAGCGCCTGATGGATGGTGAGTAAACATGCCCGGTGCCCGCCAGCGTGAGGTAGAGCAGGGGTCCCCAACCCCCCAAGCCGTAGACCAGTTACCGGGCTGTGGTGCAATTCACCACCGGGCCACAAATGGGACGGGCAAGCGCGCGAATGCACCTCCACTTGTGCCAGAGGCGGGCGCTCGTAGCCATGGCTCGCGCAAATGGAGCGGTGCTCACGCTTACCCACCGCTCGCCCAGAACTATCCCCTCTTCTCCCCCCCCCCTCCGGCTGCCGGAACGGTTGGGGACCACTGAGGTAGAGAGTTGACTTCGAAGATCAAGGCCAAAGAGACGAAGAACGAGCAGCGAAGGCAGGGATGTCACACACGCCTTTGGCCGGAAAACCCAACCTCCCAACCCCGCCCCACCCCGCCCCGCGGGGAAGTGCGCTGCTGCCAAGGAACACAACTCCTCGTGGGAGTGACCCCCAAAGGGTGACCACCTCCTTACTCAGCATCTGACCCTCCAAATACAGGGATCCCTCCCCCCCAAAGTCCTAACGCAAAGCTCTGGGAGAGAATGTTGGCAGTGTCTCAACTGGCTCAGAAGCTGCTGGAAGGGGGTTGTGGGGAGGGGGGGGAGTGGGAGGAGGCAGGTAGACCAGGGAGGCCCAGACCCCTTTCCTCCAGAGTCACTCAGGGCCCCCATCAGCAGCTCCCCCCACCCCACCCCCCCGGCAGCAGCTCCGGGCACTAGTGGCGACTGGAGACCAGCCCTTTGACCTTGGAGATCTTTTTGGTGGGTTGCCTCTGCTCTGGGTGAGGACACTCCCGCTCGGCCAGCTGCTGGTCCATCTCTTGGGCAGAGGAGGAGGAGGATGCGGTGGCCTTCAAGGTCTTCTTGATGTTCAGGACCTGGAAGGAAAGCAAAAGCGGGGAAGATGGGAGCAAAGCACGTTTATCTGATGGAGAACCACCGCCAGGCCCCTCCATGGCTTTGACCCAAGTGACAGAGGGCAGAGAGACTTGGCCATTCACGATGGGCCTCCTCGCTTTCCGATGGATAAGGAAGAGGCAACAGACCTCGCCTGCCCCGGCTCTCTGTAGATCGTCCTCAACGTACGGCCAGCCCCCTTAGCGACGTAAGAGCACGATGTAAGAGCACAACGGAGCCCAAAACGCCTCTTGCAAGTGTTGAGACAGCTGTCAAGCGAGTTTTGCCCCGTTTTACGACCTTTCTTGCCGTTGTTAAGTGAATCACTGCAGTTGTTAAGTTAGTAACCCGGTTCTGGCGTGACCCCCCGGAGGACGCTGCGACCATCGTAAATACACGCCGGTTGCCAAGGCTCTGAATTCTGATTACGTGACCCCAGGGATGCCGCAACGGTCATTAAGCGCGAAAAACGGTCAGAGGTCCCTGTTTTCACTACCGTTGTAACTTCAGTCGCTAAAGGAATGGTTGTAAGTCGAGAACTACCTTGTACTGAAACCCAGCATGGAAGGAATGAAGCATAAACCAGCAAAAAGGAGAGAAGCAACCTAGAAATTTCCTGACAGTCAAAACAATTAACCAGTGGAACTCCTTGCCTCGAGAAGTTATGGATGCTCCAACACTGGAAGTCTTTAAGAAGAGACTGGACAGCCACTTGTCTGAAATGGTATAGGGTTTCCTGCCTGAACAGGGGGTTGGATTAGATGACCTCCAAGGTCCCTTCCAACTCTATTATTATTAGATCATCGCAGTCAGCCAGATGTTCAGACTGGATTTGGCATTTTGTCTACCTATCGAGTCCTTACCCAGGACCTGGGATAGGCAGATGTGGATGTTTGATGGTATTACAGATATCGTCGCAGGATGGAAGCAGTTCCTAGTAAGGCTGCCTTTTGCAATTGATTAATAGCGAATTTGTCAATGCCAATGGTGTTCAAGTGGTGCTCCAGTTGTTTTGGGATTGCACCCAAGGAGCCTATGACTATTGGTACTACCCTTGCTTGCCTTTGCCACAGTCTTTTTATTTCTATTTGTAGGTCTTTGTATTTTGTTATCTTCTCCAGCTCTTTCTCTTCTATTCTGCTGTATTATTATTATTATTATTATTATTATTATTATTAAAAAAAACCAGCAGAGAAAAGCAGCAGCACAAGAGTTAGGAGAGAAACAGAGAGATGTGGGTCTACTCAGCAGCTTTGGATGTTTTACAGAGAGAGATCAGGAAGCCAAAGAGGGAATAAACCACCTTCATTTATATTTGGGCATAGCGCCACCTTCTGGGACCCAGGAGTCAAAACTCTCTTTATGGGGGGGAAAAAATGGAAGGCCCGCTGTACAGTAGTGGCCAAAATTGTGGAAACCTTTTGGGAAAAGTGTACGACAGGTGTCAAAAAATAGGGGTTCTTTCCTGAGGGGAATCATCCACCTAGCAATAGCAATAGCCCTTATATAATGATGATGATGATGATAATAATCATCCTATACGATTTCAGACAAATGGCTGTCCAGTCTCTTCTTAAAACCTTCCAGTGTTGGCCCATTCATTGCTTCTGGAGGCAGGTTGTTCCACTGGTTAATTGTCCTCACTGTCAGGAAGTTTCTCCTTAGTTCCAGTTTGCTTCTCTCCTTGATGAGTTTCCACCCGTTGCTTTTCGTCCTGCCTTCAGGCGCTTTGGAGAAGAGCTTGACTCCCTCTTCTTTGGGCAGCCCCTGAGATACTGGAACATTGTTATCCTGTCCCCCCTCGTCCTTTTCTTTGTTAAACTAGACAGACCCAATTCCAGCAACCATTCCTTGTATGTTTTAGCCTCCAGTACCCTAATCATCTTTATTGCTCTTCTCTGTACTCTATTTCTAGAGTCTCACAGTGCTTTGCAGCCCTCTCTAAGTGGTTTACAAATCCGGGTCCTCATTTTACCGACCTCAGAAGGAGGGAAGGCTGAGTCAACCTTGAGCCATTCAGGATTGAACTGCTGGCAGTCAGCAGAATTAGCCTGCAATGTTGCATTCTAACCACTGAGCCACCACAGAAGGAAGGGAGGGAGGGAGGGAGGACAGAAGGGAGGGAGGGAGGGAGGACAGAAGGAAGGGAGGGAGGGAGGAAGCAAGGAAGGAAGGAGGGAGAGAAGGGAAGAAAGAAGAAAAGAAGGGAGGGAGGAAGAGAGGGAGGGAGGGAAGAAAGGAAGGAAAAAAGGAAAAGAGGGGGGAAGGAAGGAAGAAAGGAAGGAAGGGCAATAGCACGTAGACTTATATATCACTTCATAGGGCCTTACAGCCGTCTCTGAGTGATTTACAGAGTCAGCATCTTGCTCCCCACCCACCCCCCAATAATCTGGGTCCTAATTTTACCGACCTCAGAAGGGGGGAAGGCTGAGTCGACGACCTTGAGCCGGTCAGGATCAAACTCCCGGCAGTGGGCAGTTTGCCTGAAAACGTTGCATTCTTAACCACTGCACCGCCACAGTTTGTGCATATATCAGAAATCTCCGGTTCCTTTGCCACGGTGGCGTGGTGGTTAGAAATGCAACAATCTGGGTCCTCGTTTTACTGACCTAATATAAGGACCCACCCCACTTTGCATCTTAAGAAGACAGAACTCTTGGAATAATTCTTCCAACAGGCATCCTTTCTTAAGAGAAAATGGTGGCCGGCGTTCTAGACAGGACTTGGGGTCCAAGCTCTCCCGTTCAAGGTTTTAAGGGGTTCCCCAGTAGCCCCACCCAATCACCCCCTTCTTCCAGCGACAGTCTCAGGCATTACACTCCCACCCCCTTTTCCTTACTGCCGGCTGGATGGAGACTTCAGAGAGAACTACATGAAAGGTAATAGCCCCATTCTTATGGTTAGTCCTTTTGGTGATACACACATCCAGTTCCTTTCTTCAGAGAAAACTACATGAAAGGTAATAGCCCCATTCTTATGGTTAGTCCTTTTGGTGCTATCCACATCCAGTCTCTTTGAAGTGTACCAAAGGAAGTGAGGGCCATAAAGCCCCTTTGTTCATCCCCTTCCCTTCATCATATGACAGAATCCAGAGAAGGCAGAAATGGGGTTTTTTATAATTGATAACTAGAGATGAAATATAATTGGATTCTGACACCTGGGAAGGAGGGAAGGTGGAGTCAACCTTGAGCCAGTGGAAAAACTGAACTGCTGGCAGTCGGCAGAACTAGCCTGCAATGCCGCATCCTGACCACTGCGCCACCCCCGGCTCTGCCGAGACGCCTACCTCCGTCTCCACCTGTTGCTGAGTCCGGTTGTGGTTCTCCTTGTATTGGTTGGCTCTGAGGACCTGCTGTTCGATTCCTAACAGGACGGCCTCACACCCGTCGCACCTGCCGACACAAAAGCTTCCCACAGTTAAGGACGGGGAGAGGAGAAGGGAGGAGCGGAAAAAGCAGCCATGCTGCCTATGGCAGTGGCCAAAATTGTGGGAACCTTTTGGGAAAAGTGTACGGTAAAAATGCCACCTCGGGTTAAGTTTCCACCCATTTTTCTTCTCATTTCTTTATAACTGTAGCCTTCTTCACTTAATACAGTGGTTCTCAACCTTTTTAATGCCGCGACCCCCCAACCGGTCGTAAGTTGAGGACTACTCAACCGGTCGTAAGTCGAGGACTACTCAACTGGTGCAGCACCGTTTGCAGAAGGGGACTTTTGGTGGGCTCAGCAGGGCAGAGACAGCCTGGACAATTCCTATTGGCTTTGGAAAGCCAATAGAATTAGACTCTATTCAAGAGAGTCTATTCTATTGGCTTTCAAAAGCCAATAGAATAAAAGGGAGTAGCACAGCTAAGGAAAAGGGGGAAAAATGACGGACTGCGTTTTTTGGCGACCCCCGTGAAATGGTCGTTCAACCCCAAATGGGGTCCCGACCCACAGATTGAGAACCACTGACTTAATAAGACTATTTTACATCGCTTTCTGGGCAACCAGTCAACTCTTTGCACTGTGACTTTAATTTTATGACGCTTTACAAGCTCAACTAAATGAAAGAACGCAAAGAAACCCCAACCAACTTGATAGCCATCACATAACACACTGACTAATGTCCTCCTCTCAGCTTCAATACATGACATCAATCACTGGATCCTACTGTGATCTGATTGGCTCATTGCCAGAACAAGATGACACCTAATTGGCTCTCTAAACACTCATGCTCATTGGCTACAATCGGGTGAAGGAAAGCTACCTGATATCAACCCGAGCAAATTGTGCTTCCTTTTTCTGGTTCTTTGGCTCTAACTTTTCATAGAATACAGTACAGATAACTGAACAAGCTTTGTTGCATTACATTCTCGATTAAATTATCTTTCCACTGATATATAATTTTAGGGTACTGCTCCAAAAAAAAAGCGGTGTTATTAGCCATCAAACCTCAAAAATACACTTTTCCCAAAAGGTTTCCACAATTTTGGCCACTACTATAAACTGGGGGACGGGAGAGAGTCCCCTCCCCCACCTGTTGGGCCAGAGGGAGGGAGGGGCACAACTCACCACTCATTGAGGGTTTTAATGATGTTGCTGATGTCCTTCCTTTGGATGTCCCGCCCAATGCAGAAATCCACTTCCAGCACCTGGTTCCGTTGATCCAGTTTGCCTTGGATGATGTCAGTGTAAACGGCTTCAATAATCAGGTCTTCCAGCTCCCGGAGGTTGCGCATGTCCAGATCTTTCAGCAGCACTGAGTAAGGGATGCACTGGGGAGGGGGTGGGGGGGGGAGAGAGGGAAGGCCGGAAGGGAAGCCATTGCTCAGATGAAGGCATAGCAACAGAACTTAGACCCGTGGTGGTGAACCTATGGCATGCGTGCCACAGGCGGCACTCAGAGCCCTCTCTGTGGGCACGCGCACTGTCGCCCCAGTCCTAGGCCTTCAGCTGGGTTTTATAAAACCTTTTCGCTTTAGGCCTCCACTGCCGTGTGCAAAAAAAAAAAAAAAAGGTTCAATCAATCAATTAATCAATTTCAACTTCTCGCGGGGAAAAAAAAGATCTCGCAAAGTTGGAATTGATTGATTGAACTTTTTAGTCCCACCCAGTCAGCCGTTACCACTGCAGCCACGCCCACCCAATGGGCCACGCCCACCCAATGGGCCACGACCACCCAATGGGCCACGACCACCCAATGGGCCACGACCACCCGGCACCCGACGATGCATAAGTGGGTTTTGGGTTGCAGTTTGGGCACTTGGTCTCTAAAAGGTTTGCCATCACTGACTTATACAGGCAGTCCTCGACTTACGACTGTTCGTTGAGTGACCGGCACTGTAAAAAGTGACTTAATGAACGTTTTTTTTCCAGAGTTAACGACCGTTGCAGCCTCCCCTGGGGTCACATGGTCAAAATTCAGGCGTTTCGTATTTACGACGGTCGCCGTGTCCCAAGGTCGTGTGGTTCCCTTTGGTGACCTTCTGACATGTACAAAGTCCATGCGGGGAACCATGTTCACTTAGCAAGCAGGTTGTTAACTGATCAACTGCAGTGGCTCGCTTAATGGCTGGGGCAAGGAAGCTGGTGGAATGGGGCAAAGCTCACTTAACAACTGTCTCACTTAACAACGGAGATTTTGGGCTCCGTTGCGGCTGTAAGCTGAGGACTCCCTGTATACCCGCTCCACAATGCTGTGCAGCCCTGTCTGAGCGGTTTACAGAGTCAGCATCTTGCCCGCCCCCCGAACAATCTGGGTCCTCATTTTACCGACCTCGGAGGGACAGAAGGCTGAGTCGACCTTGAGGCACGGATCAAATGGCTCCTTTAACTCCGAAACTTGGTTTGTACGTTAGGGGAGTCAGCGCTGACAGGGCTAACCCTCTTACAACACTCAAAGTGTTTCTCAACCTTGGTGACTTTTAAGATGTGTGAACTTTATAACTCCCTGACCACAGCTAGCTAGCAATCTATGGCTAGGAAGGAAGGATGCCAACCAGCAAGGGGGCTTAAGGCTGGTTAGCACCCTGAAGCCCTTCCCCCGCCCTTTTAATTTCAATTATTTTATTCTTGTTTTTAACTCTTTGTGCTGCAATATTTAAATATGGCTTGCTTTTGTGTGTCTTTATGGCTTTATGTATAGTGTCCAATCACTCTATGAAGGAGAAAGAGAGAAATAGAGAGGAGAGTGTGAGAAAGAAAGAAAGAAAGAAAGAAAGAAAGGAGAGCAAAAGAGAAAGACAGAAAGAGACAGAGAGAAAGAAAGAAAAAAGAGAAAAAGAGAAAGACAGAGAGAGAAAGAGAGGAAGAGAAAGAAAAAAAGACACAAAGAGAAAGACAGAGGAAGAGAAAGAGAAAAATAATGAAAGACAAAGAAAAAGAGCGAGAGAGAAAGAAACAAAGAGAGAAAGAGAAAGAAAGAGACAGAGAGAGGAAGAAAGAAAGAAAGAAAGAAAGAAAGAAAGAAAGAAAGAAAGAAAGAAAGAAAGAAAGAAAGGAAGGAGTGAGGGAGAGAGAGAGAGAAAGAAAGAAAGAAAGAAAGAAATCAAGAGGAGAAAGAGAAAGAAGGAAGGAAAGAAAGCAACAAAGGAAGGAAGGAGTGTCCGAGGGAGAGAAAGAGAGAAAGAAAGAAAAAAAGAAAAAAAGAAAGAAAGGAAGGAAGGAGTGAGTGCAGGAGGGAGAGAGAAAGAAAGAGAGAGAGAGAGAAAGAAAGAAAGGAAGGAAGGAAGGAAGGAAGGAAGGAAGGAAGGAAGGAAGGAAGGAAGGAAGAAAGGAGTGCGGGAGGGAGAGAGAGAGAGAGAGAGAGAGAAAGAAAGAAAGGAAGGAAGGAATGCGGGAGGGAGAGAGAGAGAAAGAAAGGAAGGAGTGCGGGAGGGAGAAAGAAAGAAAGAAAGAAAGAAAGAAAGAAAGAAAGAAAGAAAGAAAGAGAAAGAAAGAAAGAGAGAGAGAGAGAGAGAGGGAAAGAAAGAGTGACTAACATGCCCGTGCCCAAATGCTAAAGAGAAGGGCAATACTTCAAGCATCCAAGTTCCAGTTGGGCCCGACTGGTCTATTTCCCTACTGAAATCCTGAACGGGCGCCTACTCTAGAACGCCTAGATTTGGGTGGGGTGGGGCAGAGCAGAGCCGTCGTGGTGATCCCTGCCTGCACGCTGGTCACTTGGCTCCGCCTGCAGAAAATAACCGGGGTTTTAACCGGGTGCATTTCCGCTTTACCTTCATCCTGGACGCTAAGCTGACGATGGTCAAGTGCTTCAACTTGTTCTTCTGGGCCCTCGTCAAAGCTGGCAGGTTGTTCTGGTTCGCTGTCCGAGAGATCAAAATTCAACAAGGCCTTGTTAAGTATTTGGGCTCCTTCCCTTCCCCTCAACACAGTGGTTCTCAACCTGTGGGTCGGGACCCCATTTGGGGTCGAACGACCATTTCACAGGGGTCGCCAAACAACGCAGTCCGCCATTTTTTTCCCCCTTTTCCTCAGCTGTGCTACTCCCTTTTATTCTATTGGCTTTTGAAAGCCAATAGAATAGACTCTCTTGAATAGAGTCTAATTCTATTGGCTTTCCAAAGCCAATAGGAATTGTCCAGGCTGTCTCTGCCCTGCTGAGCCCGCCAAAAGTCCCATTCTGCAAACGGTGCTGCACCAGTTGAGTGGTCCTCAACTTACGACCGGTTGAGTAGTCCTCAACTTACGACCGGTCGGGGGTCGCAGCATTAAAAAGGTTGAGAACCACTGCCTTAACCCCTTGGCAAGTGGCAAAGAGTGTCAACCCAAGGCCCTTTTGGAAGAGAGGGGCACAGATTGTCACGCCGCTGGGGGGGTGGGGGAAACGTAGTTATCGACAGGAAGAGAAGGGGGGGACACAAAGTGAGAGGAATTGAAGGCTTGCAAATACGAGCGGTCCTCACTTAACGATGGCACCTGGGGACTGGAATTTCAACCAGTAGGCAACGCAGCCATATAAACCGCGATAGTCTTAAGACAGGGGTGTCAAACTCAATTTCACTGAGGGCCGCATCAGCATTGCGGTTGCCCTCGGGGTGTGTGTGGCCAGGGTGCAATGTTCTAGGAGCAATGTCACATTGCTCCTAGAAGCACGAAGCCAAAAATACCAGCCTGAAGACGAATGTGACCTCGTCGAAACATTGCCAAGACACTTCCAATTTTACGTGGGAGAAAACCCAAATAACCAAAGACCTACATATATATATATATACATACATACATACATACATATATATCCTCCAAAAGAGGCATCGTCAAATTGGAAGTGTCTTGGCGATGTTTCGACTAAGTCTCATTCGTCATCTTGAGGCTAGTGTTTTCGGCTTCGTGCTTCTAGGAACAAAAAACGAAGCCGAAAACACCAGCCTGAAGATGACGAATAAGACTTCGTCGAAACATCGCCAAGACACTTCCAATTTGACGCGGGAGAAAACCTGAATAACCAAAGACCTACATACATACATACATATCAGTAAAAAAGAGAAGCGATCACCAGGGAAATAAAACACCAAGGTTTTAATAAATAAGATCAAGCTTTTGATGACTAGCATCTGTCATCATCGTCAGGATGCAAGCCAGCTAGTGAGGAAACCTGCTTATAAGCATTTTTACTGAAATGTATGCACCCAGGAATCGCTATTCCTCAATTTTTAATGTAATTTTTAATACATACCGTAAATGCCGGCGTATAAGATGACTTCCGCGAGCGCTGAAATCGGCGCCAAAGACGGGAGTCGTCTTATACGCCGGAAATACTGGTAGTTTCCGGCGTATAAGATGACGTTCTAGGAATGCGGCCCGGCTATAAAGACGGGGGTCGTCTTATACGCCGGGTCGCCTAATACACCAGCATATACGGTACATACATACATACATACATACATACACACACACGCACGCGCACACACACACACACACATACACACTGTATATATAAGACCAGGTCTTATTTTGGGAGAAAACACGATATTGCTGATACCTGCATCGGGTCAAAGTTTTCTACAGTTCCAGCAGACCCTTACCAACATAATCTGGGTAGGTTCCATAGGCAAAGAGATTCAGCAGCTGGAAATAAGCAGCATTGGGCCCTTTGGCAATCTGGAGATACAGAAAAGCAAAAAGGAGTGATTCGTCTGCTATTAAACCATGGCCAGCAGAACAGACTAAGCCAGGGCTCGGCGTCGGAGGACAGCGTGGCACGGAGAGCTGAGTCAAGAGAAGGCACAAAGGCCACTACAGCCAGTCCTCGACTTAACCACAGTTCCTTTAGTGCCCGTTCCAAGTTACAACCGCACTGAAAAAAAGGGACCCGTGACCGTTTTTCACACTTGCGGCCGTTGCAGAATCCCCACGGTCACGTGATCCAAATTCGGAGGCTTGGCAACTGACTCGTATTTAAGACGGCTGCACTCTCCCGGGGAGACAGGATCCACGTTTGCGACCTTCTGACAAGACGACTGTCAACGCTGCAAATACTGTATATTCTTGCTTTGACAATATGCAGAACTGTCTGGTATTTTTGGGGTTAATACAGAGGAGAAGAGGGTGGGGGTAAAGCCCGGGAAAGAGAGAGGAAGGAAACCTTTGACCTTCACACTAATTGGATAATGTGATATATGACAGCTAATTTAGGGAGGGAACATGCTGATAATTTAACTGCTCAGAGGAAGAGAACTTAGATCTTAGCATAAACCTTCCTTTATGCCTGTGCCAACATTTTGAAGTAATACAAGACTGTTAGGGAAATCAATGCCTGGAAGTTCTTTGAAGTGTTTCGTTAGCCGGAACCATAACACTGACTCAATGGGGGGGGGAGCCAGATTCACTTAATGACCGTGTGACCCACTTAACAGCTGCGGGGATTCTCTTCACAAGGGTGGCAAGAACGGTTGTAAAACGGGGGCAAAATTACACTTGACACGCAATTCACTGAGCAAGGGAAATTTGGGCTCAACGGTGGCCGAGGGCTACCTGTATTTCAGTGCCACAGGTCACCATCTTCAGTGCTAGATTGCAAATAAAGGGAGCAGCACCACGTGGCCCTGGTTTAGGCGCCCCTCTTTGGCACAGGGAGCGTAGCCGTTTACAAACGGTGGGCAATCCACAGTCGCTGTTTTCGTAAGTTGCTGTTTTCAGTGCCGTTGTAGCTTCAAATCGTCACTAAACGAACCGTTCTCAGCCACTACCTGTATTCCTTTTCGTTTCACTGTTTGTCTGGTATTCATCCCTGCTTATCTGGATGTTGGTTGCTGGAGTAGTGGAAGCTATTAAGGGAAAAAACCACATCGCTACCAACACTGGCAGGCCAAGCTACTGTATAAAAACAGACAGAAAAACCCACGCTTGCTAGCACTGATGGTGTTACCTAGTTTGGGTCATGAAATGTCTGCAGGAAAACAGCCAAGCTCAGAGAGTTCCAAGGACCCCACAGTTTTCCTCCTCCTCCTCCTCCTCCTCCTCCTCCTCCTCCTCTCCGCAAACCCCCCTCCCTTCTAGCACTGATGATGTTACTTAGTTGGGTAATGAAACATCTGCAAGAAAACCACCCAGCTCAGAGAGCCCCAAGGATCCTCTAGACCTCCTCCTCCGCTCCACAACCCCCGTCCCTTCTAGCACTGATGATGTTACCTAGTTGGGTCACGAAATGTCTGCAAGAAAGCAACCAAGCTCAGAGAGCATCAAGGACCCCACAATTGTTGTCATCCTCCTCCCCCTCCTCCTCCCCCTCCTGCTCTGCAAACCTTACTAGCACTGATGTTACCTAATTGGGTAACGAAATGTCTGCAAAAAAAAGAACAACAATCAAGCTCAGAGAGCACCAAGGATCCCATAGTCCTCCTCCTCCTCCTCACTACACATGCCACTCCCTTCTAGTACTGATGGTGTTACCTAATTGGATCATGAAATGTCTGCAAGAAAACCACCAAGCTCAGAGAGCACCAAGGACCCCACAATCATTGTCGTTCTCCTCCTCCTCCTCCTCCTCTCCACAACCCCCCTCCCTTCTAGCACTGATGATGTTACCTAGTTGTGTCACGAAATGTCTGCAAGAAAGCAACCAAGCTCAGAGAGCACCAAGGACCCCACAGTCCTCCTCCTCCTCTTCCCCCCCCTCCCTTCTAGCATTGATGATATTACCTAGTTGGGTCATGAAATGTCTGCAAGAAAACCACCAAGCTCTGAGAGCACCAAGGACCCCATAGTCGTCGTCCTCCTCCTCCTCCTTAAAACCACCAAGCTCCAAGAGCACCAAGGACCACATTGTCCTCCTCTTCTTTTCCTCCTCTTCCCCCCCTTCTTTCCAGCACTGATGATGTCACCTAGTTGGGTCATGAAACATCTACGAGAAAACCACGCAGCTCCAAGAGCACCAAGGACCCCACGGTTCAACCCGAAGCTGCAGAGATTCTCTTCCGTTGGAATCTTACTGTAACTTCTTGCCCCGGCATAGAAGCAAATGAAGAAGGGAACAAGTCCAAGGCTTACCTCTCGCACATTGGTCAATTCCAGTAGTTCTCCGAAGACATAAACCCCCGGAGCCTCCAGCACTTGGTTGATGAGAGCGATCAGAGCTGAACCGCTGGTGCCTTTGGCCAATAAAATGAACTGCTCCAGGTGATTGGAGGCTGGTTTTTGCTCCCCTGCCATTCTCAGTGTTTAAGCCTGCAAAACAAGAGCGTCACGGTTGCTGTTCAACGTTTGGCTCAAAAGGAACATGCAGCCAGCAGCCAGTCTGATGAATGAAAACACTTCAGCTTTATTTCGTGTCTTAAAAAAAAAAGCATCGTCCTAAAGAAACAATTTGTGTCAAGAGGTGCTCAACCCTAAAAGAGGGGAAAAAACAAACAAAAAACTAAAGTACACGTTTATGAAGGCTGGGAAAAAGGAAGGGTGACAGTATTCAAAACAAATTCTGCTTTTCCCATTTTTTAAAAAATGGAGCTTTCAAAACTACTTACGCAAATGTAAAAAGCATAAAGAGAACAGTCAGTAGGAATAAAACCAATGCAGGTAGCTCTCGAGTTAGGATCACAACGAAATCCAACATTTCCGTTGCCAAGTAAGACAATTAAATGAGTGTTGCCCCATTTTACAACTTTTTTTGTCCCCAGTTAAACAAATCATTAAACAAATACTGTATTTTCCGGCGTATAAGACGACTCGGCGTATAAGACGACCCCCGACTTCGGAGAAGATTTGCATGGTTTAGAACAGTGGTTCTCAACTTTTCTAATGCTGCGACCCCATAATACAGTTCCCCATGTTGTGGTGACCCCCAACCACTTATACATCACCAGGTGCCAGGGGCGTGGCCAAAGAAAAGGGGGGGAAAAATGGCGGACAGCCTTGTTTGGCGACCACCGTGAAATGGTTGTTCGACCCCAAATGGGGTCCCGACCCACAGGTTGAGAACCACTGGTTTAGAAAGTCGTCTTATACGCCGGAAAATACGGTAGTTTAATGAAGAGAAGGACGAGGGGGGACATGATAGCAGCATTCCTATATCTGGGGGGCTGCCCCAAAGAAGAGGGAGTCAAGCTCTTCTCCAAAGTGCCTGAAGGCAGGACAAGAAGCAACGGATGGAAACTCATCAAGGAGAGAAGCAACCTGGAACTAAGGAGAAACTTCCCGACAGTTAGAACAATTCACCAGTGGAACAACCTGCCTCCAGAAGCTGTGAATGCTCCAACACTGGAAGTTTTTAAGAAGAGACTGGACAGCCATTTGTCTGAAATGGTATAGGGTTTCCTGCCTGAGCAGGGGGTTGGACTAGATGACCTCCAAGGTCCCTTCCAAATTTATTATTATTATAAATCAGTGCAATTGTTAAGTCATGCAGTTATTAAAGGACTTCCCTGTTTGACTTTGCTTATCAGAGGCCCATTGGGAAGGTTACAAATGATGATCACGTGACCCTGGAACAGTGAAACGGTCATAAGTACAAGCCAGTTGCCAAGTGTCTGCATTTGCATCATATGACCTTTGGGATGCTGCAACCCTCATAAGTGGGAAAATTGGTCCTAAGTGACTTTTTTCAATGCCTTTGTAATTTTGAACAGCCACTAAACTAAATGATTGGTTATATGTCAAGGACTATCTATACCAGGGGTCTTCAAACATGGCCCTTTTATGACTTGTGGACTTCAACTCCCAGAATTCCTCAGCCAGGCACGCGTGCCTGGCTGAGGAATTCTGGGAGTTGAAGTCCACAAGTCATAAAAGGGCCATGTTTGAAGACCCCTAATCTATACCAAAAATTATCTATCAAAAAAAAATTAAACTATTCCAGAATCAAGCCTCGTTTTTAAGCTTTCCCTTGCTGGTAGAACAGATTGGTAATCTAATACGAACACCTCATTAATTCTTACTTGATCCTGCAAATGAAGATTTCCCTGTTAACATTAATATGAATATTTTAACGGGGAGGACGAGCCAAAGAAAAGAAGCCAACAGATTCTGCAGCCTGGATTCAAATGCAGTTGCCACAAATGTCTTTGGCAGTAAAGGCTGAGCCTTGTAGATTTACAGTACTGGCAGCACCGGTATATATTACCAGGAGAATAAAAACATCTGGCCATATCATCATAGACAAGGGGTCTTCAAACTTGGCCCTTTTATGACTTGTGGACTTCAACTCCCAGAATTCCTCAGCCAGCGTGCCTGGCTGAGGAATTCTGGGAGTTGAAGTCCAGGAGTCATAAAAGGGCCAAGTTTGAAGACCCTTGTCATAGATGCTTGAGGAACCACCTGACTTCCATCAATTTTACCCATCCCATTAAGTTGGACAGGAGGGATTTGCTCCAGGTCCCATTTTTAGAGATCATCTACCACAGCAGCCCCCAACTTTTTGGGCACCAGGGACCGGTTCTGTGGAGAGGTCTTCCCACGGACCGGAGGGTACATGGTCTTGTGTGCTGCCTGTATCCTACTGATGGGGCTTCGCTTGTTTGCATGGCCCGGTTCCTTGTTTGCATGGGACCCCTGATCTAGCAGGACCCAGGGAATGTTAGTTGGCTGTAGCTGTGCCTGCATTCACATTGCCTGAAGTTCAGCTGGCCCCCACTCAGCTCACCTTTCAGAAAGCTTTCAAAACATATAAGGAACGGTTGCTAGAATTGGGTATGTCTAGTTTAATGAAGAGAAGGACACAAGGGGGGACATGATAGCAGTATTCCAATATCTCAGGGGCTGCCATAAAGAAGAGGGAGTCAAGCAATTCTCCAAAGCACCTGAAGGCAGGACAAGAAGCAACGGGTGGAAACTAATCAAGGAGAGAAGCAACCTAGAACTAAGGAGAAACTTCCTGACAGTGAGAACAATTAACCAGTGGAACAGCCTACCTCCAGAAGCAGTAAATGCTCCAACACTGGAAGTTTTTAAGGAGACTGGACAGCCATTTGTCCGAAATGGTGTAGGGTTTCCTGCCTGAGCAGGGGGTTGGACTAGATGACCTCCAAGGTCCCTTCCAACTTTACTACTATTACTATTACTAAGACCAGGTGGTCTTCCCAACCATCAGGACTGGGACAGTAACAGAGCCCGCATGTTAGTGAATGGTCTGTTAATCAACTGGGGAAAAGAACTTTTTATTGTTTTTACATAGAGGTAGTTCTCAACTTATGACAATTGAGCTCAAAATTTCTGTTGCCAAGATGTTAAGTGAGTTTTGCCCCATTCTACAGCTTTTCTTGCCAATTTTTACATTAGTAACATGGTTGTTAAGTGAATCTGGCTTCCCCATTGACTTTGCTTGTAAGAAGGTCACAAAACGGGATCACATGTCCCCCGGGGACACTGCAACTGTCATAAATATGTGCCAACAGTCCAAAATTTGATTATACACTTGGAGTTCATAAATAAGCAACGTACATACCACTCAGGGGCTTGCAAAGAAAGTGAGAAGGGTCTCCACTGGATATTGTAGAAGCAGAGTTTCTGTCCAGGTATACCAGAGGCAGAAATAACCAGTGTTACTTCAGGCTCCAGTGTGCTCAGAAATACAGACTAGGAGGAAAAAATGGTTACCACACACAACTGGTTACCACATAAGGCTGCATTTAAGGGAGTTGGTGGCTGCACATGTTCCCTGCAAGAGAGAGGAAAGAAATCAAGAGAAACAGCTATGGAGATTCTCCGTCATCCAGATCATAGTTACCCAACTGGACTTTTTGGGGAGGGGGGTTTGGTTTTTTTTTTTTTTAAGATGTTTTGCTTCTCATCCAAGAAACTTCTTCAGCTCTGACTGGATGGTGGGAATGGGAGGATTTATACTCCTTGCAGATAGAGTTGGTCACTTGTCTTCTTTTACAGAGTCGTTGAGGCCACCTGGAGGTTTATCTGCGTCCTCAGGGTCATCTGAGTGGTGCAAACGGGTGTGGGGCCTTCTTGGAACCGCTGAAAGGACTGTGATGTAGACTGGAGATAGATGATGTCATATCCCTTCCCTCTGTTGAGAGAGGGCTGCTCAATTTTGACATAGATGGCTTCCAGGTGGTTTCAATGACCCTCTGAAAGAATGCAAATGACCAGCCATCTGCAAGGAATATAAAGAAGCAAGGAAGCTTCTTCAGCTGTGACTGGATGGTGGGGAATGGGAGGATTTATACTCCTTGCAGACAGAACTGGTCATTTGCCTTCTTTTAGAGAGTCGTTTTGGCCACCTGGAGGTTTATCTGTGTCCTCAGGGTCACCTGAGTGGTGCAAATGGGTGTGGGGCCTTCTTGGAACTGTTGAAAGGACTGTGTTGTAGACTGGAGATAGATGATGTCACCAGTCAGGTGACCCTGAGGACACAGGTAAACCTCCAAGTGGCCTCAACGACTCTGTAAAGTCTAAAAGAAGGCGGATGACCAGCTGTCTGCAAGGAGTATAAATCCTTCCATTTCCCCACCATCCGATCAGAGCTGAAGAAGCTTCTGGGATGAGAAGCGAAATGTCTTCAAAGAAAAACAAGAAAGTTCAGTTGCCTTATGAAAAAAAGCACCTTTGGGATAAGATAAATCAAGACAAAAGTTCCAAATCTGGCCTGCAAAACTCCACGAGGCCACCAGGGGGCAGCCACAGTCCGGTAGGCACTTAACTGGCGCCCTCTAGCGGTCGCCCGGAGCTTTGCAGCCTAGAGCCGCCATCCCGAGGGAAGAGAGAGAGAGAGAGAGGAGGCGGATACTCCGGCTAAAAGAGCGCCCACTACCACGCCCATCATCCCCAGCCTTTTCTTGTCTTCAGGCCATTCAACTGGCCCAAATTTCAGCTCTCGTCAACCTCCCCATCCCCCACCCGGCAAAACCATTTGGACTCCAAACCCCATCATTCCCATGGCAGCGTGGAGGGAGCGAGGGAGGCTCCCGAGAGATAGAGGAGCGGCGGCAGCGAAGGCAAACGCCTCCCTGCTTGCCTGCCGGCTCGCCCGCCTCCCGTGGCGTCCCGAACGAGGGATTTTCCCGGCCCCCGAAGTCGCGCCCTTCTCTGTCCCGGGCTTCGGGTGGCGGTCCTTACCGGGCAGCTGCCGTTCTCCCCCGACTGCTTCTCCGCTCGGCCGTACCTCGCCTCAGGCCGCCATGACAGCCGCCGTGCCCAAACGGGCGCCGCTCGCAAGTGGGTCCGATGGTCCGTTCGTCCCGCGGCCCGGACGGAAACTGCGTCGCCCGAGACAAACGTTCCGCTCAAGCGGTTTCCTGAGGGGCTGAAGGAGAAATTGGGGGGGGGGGGGGAGAGCCGCCTTTTGAGAATCAGGGCCTGGCCTCCCATGATGCACTTCGCTTGGATCCTCACTTTAACCCCTTTAAAAAAAAAAACAACCTTCAGTGTTTTGCCACATGATGGGCGGACTTCAACTCCAGAATTCCCCAGCTTGCTGTCATGTCATCCCTAGTCCTCCTTTTCATTAGACTAGGCCAAGGGTGGGAAACCTTGGCCCTTTGATGACTCGTAGACTTCAATTCCCAGAATTCCTGAGCCAGCATGGGGGAACTAAGGCCCCCTTTATGACTTGTGGACTTCAACTCCCAGAATTCCTGAGCCAGCATGGGGGAACTATGGCCCCTTCATGACTCATGGACTTCAACTCCCAGAATTCCTCAGCCAGCATGGCTCAGGTTGGAAACCTCTCCCTTTCCTCTCAGCATGGCTGCTGAGGAATTCTGGGAGTTGAAGTCCACGAGTCATAAAAGAGCCAAGGTTGCCTACCCCTGGACTAGGCCAGGGGTGGGGAATCTTGGCCCTTTTATGACTGGTAGACTTCAACTCCCAGAATTCCTGAGCCAGCCTGGGGGCAGAACTGTTCCCAAAGAAAGTGTTGCAGACAAACCCCTTCCTAGTTCTCCCAAAGATACAGGAAGTCCTCACTTAATGATCGGTTGTTTAGCGACCATTCAAAATTGTGGCAGACCTCACCAGACCTACTTATGATCTGGTTCCGAAGTTCCATAGCCACATCATCCCCTCCAAAGTCACATGATTGCATTTTGGGCACATTTGCAGAATCCCAGAGTCATGATTTTCGGATTTTTTTTTTACTGATTTCTGGTGTTTACTTCCAGTTGCTGGGAAAAAAACAAAAAGGCCCCTTGAAGAAAATGGATTTGCTTAATGACCGCAGCATTCCCTTAATGACTGTGGCCTTCACTTAAGCATCACCCCCCAAAATGTGATATAGTATCATGTGATCTGATTAATGACCACCACAATTTACATTGGTTAATTCGAGGCTCAGTTACGGTAGTAATTTGAGGACTAATTATACAGAGAGAGTGAGATGATAATGCTTTGAGATTTGCCAGATTCTGTTACTGTAGTTTTATAATAAAAGTAATATTGGCTATCTCCTAGTTTGGACTACTTTAAAGGGTTGACATGACCATGGGCTATTTACTATTTGGGTTTGCTATTTGATTTACAACTCTTCCTGTCAGGGAGACTCCCTGCATTTTTTTGCAATATTTTAACAATTTATAATTGGTGTCACCTGCAAAGTTGCTATTTTTCTCCTTACCCTTTGGGCCAGAGATCCCCAACCTTTTGGGCACCAGGGACCGGTTCCGTGGAGAGAGGTTTTTCCGCAGACAGGAGGGTGCATGGTTTTGTGTGCTGCCTGCATCTCATGGATGGGGCTTTGCTTGTTTGTGCAGACTGGTTGCTGGCATGCCACGGCCCAGTACCGGTCCACGGCCGGCGGTTGGGGACCCCTGCCTTAGACCAAATTGTTCATAAGGAATTTAACAAAATTATTGATTTCACCTGGCATCTCACTGTTGGAGTTTGGCAGCCTTGTGCATTTTAAATATAATAATAATAATAATAATAATAATAATAATAATAATAATAATAATAATAATAATAATAATAATTCAAGTATAAGCACCAATTCATTGCAAGAAACAAACCAACTAATGTACAGCACAGCTGCAGTTATAACAGAATACCTGGGATGCAAAATCAACAAAGAAGAAAAACAAACAAACAGTGCACCAGAAAAATGGAAGGTTAGACTAGAAAATAAGATCAGCAAGTTAAGATCACATGCAAGCAAGATAGAACAGATGAAAGAAAAGAAGCTGAAGAACAAGAAGACCAAAGAATACCTAATCAAGAAATACCACTTAGAAACAAGGAAGATCAAGGAAGCACTGGAAATAATAAAGCAACAAATAACAGCTATAGCCAGGAAAATCAGTAGATATGAAGCTCGAATTGCAAACTATAGGCAGAACCTCCAATTTCAATCCAATCAGAAACGTTTCTACCAATCCATCAATGGAGAAACTGCAAGGAATCAGTCAGTACCTGACAAGGAAGAAACAGTGCAGTTCTGGAAGCAGATATGGGATAACCCAAAGAAATACAACAAGGATGCGGCTTGGTTAAAAGAGGTGGATGCAAATAAAACAGAAGTTGAAATGAAAGAACTAGTAATAACAACAAAAATGGTAGAAAAAAGAGCAAAGAAAATCAAAAATTGGTCAGCACCAGGTGAAGATGAACTGCATGGGTTTTGGTTGAAACATCTAACTGTTATACACCCACTCATTGCCAAACAGTTCAACAATATACTACAAGGAGGAGAAATTGAAAAGTGGCTAACAACTGGGAAAACCTACCTAATAATGAAAAATCCAGCAAAAGGGGCAACACCAGGTAACTACAGGCCAATTACCTGCTTACCAACAACTTTCAAATTACTAACTGGTGTAGTAGCTGATGCAGTGCAACAGCATCTAGTTGAAAACAATCTCTTTCCACCTGAGCAGAAAGGAAACCGCCCCAATAGCAGAGGAACAAAAGATCAACTCCTAATAGACAAAATGATCTTGGAAAACTGCAAGAGAAGGAAGACCAACCTGAATGTGGCATGGATTGACTACAAAAAGGCATTTGACTCTCTGCCACATGATTGGATAATAAAGTGCCTAGAAATAACAGGAGTCAGTAGAAACATCAGAAAATTTGTGCAAAGATCGATGGCACAATGGAAGACACAGTTGCAGATCAATGGTGAGAGGCTGGGAGAGGTTAATATCAAGAGAGGAATATTTCAAGGAGATTCATTATCACCATTACTATTTGTTATTGCACTGTTTCCTCTGTCAACAATACTGAATAACTCAGGACATGGCTATCAAACATCAAAAACATCTGCCAGACTATCCCACCTCCTTTATATGGATGATCTGAAGCTGTATGGAAAAACATCATCTGAAATAGAATCGCTGCTCAACACTGTCCGTATATATAGCCAAGATATTGTAATGGAGTTTGGCTTGGACAAATGTGCCACACTTACTATCAAACAAGGAAAAATAGTGAAAACTGAAGGAATCAAGATGCCCCACGAAAATAACATTAAGAGTCTGGATGAGGAAGAGTACTACAAATACTTGGGTATCCTTCAAGCTGACAACATCAAGCACACTGAAGTCAAGAAAAAGATTAGAGGTGAATACATCAAGAGAGTGAAGAAGATCTTAAAATCCAAACTCAATGGAGGAAATACCATAAAGGCAATCAACACCTGGGCAATCCCAGTCATTAGGTACACAGCTGGAATAGTGGACTGGACTCAAGCAGAACTAAAAGCAATGGACAGGCAGACCAGAAAAATAATGACAATGAATCACGCCCTTCATCCACGCAGTGACATTGATAGACTTTATCTACCAAGGCAAATAGGTGGGCGTGGAATGCTACAAGTACATCAGATGGTTGAAGAAGAAAAAATGGCTTTGGAAGAATATCTGAAGAACAATGATGAAGATGCACTGAAATTAGTATATCAGGAAGGCTTACTAACTACTGGAGAGACCAAACTGGCCTACAAGAAAGACCAAATGAAGAACAGAATAGAGGCATGGGAAGACAAAGCACTACATGGCCAATACATTAAAAAAATAGCTGGGAAAGCAGATAATAATAAAACATGGCAATGGCTAAGAGCAGGAAAATTGAAGAAAGAGACCGAGGGACTAATTCTGGCTGCACAAGACCAAGCCTTAAGTACAAATGCATACAAAGTCAAAATTGAGAAGACAGCAACAGACAGTAAGTGCCGCCTATGCAAAGAAGCTGAAGAAACAGTGGACCACTTGGTAAGCTGTTGCAAGAAGATTGCACAGACTGACTACAAGCAGCGGCATGACAAAGTAGCAACAATGGTGCATTGGAAGATCTGCAAAAAATATCATTTGCCTGTAAGCAAAACTGGTGGGATCATAAAATAGAGAAAGTCATAGAAAATGATAAAATTAAACTGCTCTGGGACTTCAGAATTCAAACAGACAAGCACCTGCAACATAACACCCCAGACTTAACAATTGTCGATAAGAAGACAAAAAAGTCTGGATAGTGGACGTGGCAGTGCCTGGAGATAGCAGAATAGAAGAGAAAGAACTGGAGAAGATAACAAAATACAAAGACCTACAAATAGAAATAGAAAGACTGTGGCAAAAGCAAGCAAGGGTAGTACCAATAGTCATAGGCTCCTTGGGCGCAATCCCAAAACAACTGGAGCACCACTTGAACACCATTGGCATTGACAAATTTGCTATTAGTCAATTGCAAAAGGCGGCCTTATTAGGAACTGCTTCCATCCTGTGACGATACCTGTAATACCATCAAACATCTACATCTGCCTATCCCAGGTCCTGGGTAAGGACTCGATAGGTAGACAAAATGCCAAATCCAGTCTGAACATCTGGCTGACTGTGCGATGATTGATATAATAATAATAATAATAATAATAATAATAATAATAATAATAATAATAATAATAATAATAATATCCCAGGTCCTGGGTAAGGACTCGATAGGTAGACAAAATGCCAAATCCAGTCTGAACATCTGGCTGACTGTGCGATGATCGATAGTAATAGTAATAGTAATAATAATAATAAAAAAGTTGGAAGGGACCCTGATAAATCTCTGCATCCCAGAACATTAGCTGGTCTCTTAACTTTCAATTAACGTCTGTAGCAACTAAGAATATTATGACATCTAGGACAGAACAACAGTATCAAATTCATCACTGATCCGTCTCTCGGGGCCAACATTAGAAATATCTGCTTTTTGATGGCTGCCCGAAATTAATATTATTATTATTAATAATAATAATAATAACAGGGAAGGGACCCTGGAGGTCATCTAGTCAGGCAGGAAACCTAACACCATTTCACACAAATGGCTGTCCAGTCTCTTCTTAAAAAGTGTTGGAGCATTCACCGCTTCTGGAGGCAGGTTGTTCCACTGGTTAATTGTTCTAGCTGTCAGGAAGTTTCTCCTTAGTTCTAGGTTGCTTCTCTCCTTGATGAATTTCCATCCGTTGCTTCTTGTCCTGCCTTCAGGCGCTTTGGAGAATAGCTTGACTCCCTCTTCTTTGGGGCAGCCCCTGAGATATTGGAACTCTGCTATCCTGTCCCCCCTCGTCCTTCTCTTCGTTAAACTAGACATACCCAATTCCAGCAGCCGTTCCTTATATGCTTTAGCCTCCAGACCCCTGATCATCTTTGTTGCTCTTGTCAATGATTTATTCATGTAGCAATGGGTAAAAACAGCAGGAAACTGCTAAAGCTATTTTCTTAAATTCTGTTGCATTGTGACACTAAATTTTTGTTTGTTTGTTTCTTTTCTTTTTTCTTTTTGATCAAGTGTTGCCCTTTTAATAATAAAAAAAGGAGCAACAACTTGGATGCTGGGGAGAATTACTACCAGGAAATTGAGTTAATTAACAAACCATGGATTAGTTAATTATGGCTGAAACGTATTAAACAAATGCAGCCCCAGCTAACAATTTTATTGTTGTGCAATCTTTTGAGGATTACTGCTTTTATATGGCAATATTTTTTAAAGGTCAGCCACATTTACTTATTTAATCAAACTTATATGCCACCCATGTTGCCAAAAGCAAATCTGGGTGGCTTACAGATATTGAATAAAATGCAGTATAAACATTAAAATTAAAACGAGGATCTTCAGTTTAAAAAAAATGATTTAAACTAAGCAGGAGGGTGAGGGAGGGAGCAAAGTGCACATGGGGAAGAAATGGGATGCTCTCTAATCCATCAGCCCCCCCCCCAACATGCCACCCAGGCTCAGTTACCTGTGGATTCTGAAAGATAATACAATATTGTTTGTATATTAAACCCTAAGAGCACTTACTGCCTTTATTTTGCTACCTAATATTGGGGTGGGTGGATACCTGGAATTTTTCGGGTTTTTTTCCTTTCTGTCTTAATGCGGATGCTTGGAGCAATGTATCCAAAGCTAGAATATTGAGATATAATTGTTAAGTAAATGAATTAACCCAGCCACCCCTTTAGATGGGGGTAAAGGTTGATTAAAAAAAAAAAAAGAATTTGAAAAGTTAAAAAAATGGGGGGAAATTCCAAGAGGGCACACAACATGGAGTTCTCCAACTGGAGTTGCCCCAACAAGGGTGTCCAAACTTGACAATTTTAACACCTGTGGACTTCAACTCCCAGAATTCCCCAGCCACCAGCATTCTGGGAGTTGTAGTCCACAGGTCTTCAAGTGGCCAAAGTTGGACACCCCCTGCCCTAAACCCCTCATTAATAGCCACGAAGGCAACGTGGGAACGGACAGCCCACGCGTGGAAGGCGCAAAAGCCCCGCTCTTCCTGCCTCCCTCTCTGTCGACGCCAGGGGGCGCGCTCCGCCGCGGCCCTTTTCGCGGCACCTGCGGGGAAAACTCCGCGCTCGCCTTCGCCTTTTGGAGAAGATTGTCCCGCGGCGACACCCGTCTCCAGCTGCCCGCGGTTGCTGTGAAGGGGGGGGAATCCCTTCCATAGCGACCGGTGGGGCGCCGCCGCCGCCAAGCCTCTCCTCGCCCTCTGATTGGCCGTCGCTGCCGCCCGTCACCATCCGCGGGCGGCGATTGGCCGACGCGGGCGGCCCACCCCGGGTGGTTGGTTTAGCCGGGCAGTGGCGGGCGCAGGGGAATCCGGGCCGGCGAGCGCTGCCTTTTCGCCTTCCCTCGGCCAGGCCTGCGAGCCGGCTCAGCCCAGCGGCACCATGTCGAGCCAGGACGAAGAGGAGGAGGAGCAGCACCGGGCCAAGGAGATTCTGAGGGGATTCAAACTGTATCCGGCCTGTCTGGGAGGCGCGCGAGGGAGCGGGGCGCGGGGAGGGTAAATACGGTAAATACGGTAATGCGGCGGTTATTTTGGGGGAGGAGCGTCAAAAGAAGAAATACGGTAACGTCCTACGACAGGGGTCTTCCAACGTGGCCCTTGGAGGACTTGTGGACTTCAACTCCCAGAATTCCTCAGCCAGCAAGCTGGCTGAGGAATTCTGGGAGTTGAAGTCCACAAGTCCTCCAAGGGCCACGTTGGAAGACCCCTGTAATAAGAGCTGCCTGGGGTGGGTGGCACGCTTGCTTGGTTACTTACGGTACCTTGGAGGGAACATAGGGCACATTTTGGAGGGGGCTGGATAAATACGGTATTTATTGGGGTGCTGAGCGAAGGGGCGGCTCATTCTTTGGGGGTCTTTCCTGGGAGAGATGGGAGGGGGAGAGTTATGGAGCTGCCTGGGGCCCCAATATTGGCTGGAATTTCCCCCCTCCGTCCCCGAACTGTACCAGGTGAATGGATCATCTGGGGGTGGGGTGGGGGCTGCAAGGTTGGCCAGGAGAAATAAATATTGGTTGGTATTTTGGGGCTGGGCGGCTCCAGTTCGCACCGCGTAGAGCAGGGGGCCTTCAAAGTTGGCTCTTTTTTTTTATGACTTGTGGACTTCAACTCCCAGAATTCCCTGGTCTCAGAATTCCCAGAAATCCACACGTCATCAAAGGGCCAACTTTGAAGACGCCTGGAGTAAGGGAAGCCAGCCTTAGCCACTTTGTGACTGGTGGACTTCAACTCCCAGAATTCCTCAGCCAGGCACGCCTGGGTGAGGAATTCTGGGAGTTGAAGTCCACAAGTCATCAAAGAGCCAACTTTGAAGACCCCTGGCCTAGAGGCAGTCCTGGATTCACAGTCGTCCTTGAGCCTTCCGTTTCCATTGCTAAGCGAGACAATTGCGAAGTGAGCAATTGTTTTATCACCGTTCCTGCCACGGTTGTTAAGTTAGTCATTAAATTAGTCACACGGTTGTTAAGTGAACCAGGCTTCCCCCCCCCAATGGACTTTGCTTGTCAGAAGGTCGCAAAAGGGGAATCACATGACCCCGGGGACACTGCGACCGTCGTAAATATGAGTCAGTTGCCAAGTGTCCGAATTTGGATCCCGTCAGTGCAACAGTCGTAAGTGTAAAAAATGGTCCTAAGTCACTTTTTTTCAGTGCCGTTGTAACTTTGAAAGGTCGTTAAATGAAGCATTGTAAGTCGAGGACTACCTGTGCTTAATGGCTGGCTGAGGAATTCTGGGAGATGCAGTCCACAAGTCTTAAAGTGGCCAAGTTTGAAGACCCCCGGTTAAGATGTTCATAGAAGAGGTTAAGGGGTTATTTTTCTGTTTGTTTTGTGGCTTAGCGCAGTGGTCCCCAACCTTTGCAGTTTGGCGGCCCGGCTGGGGGAGGAGATGGGACCTGGGCCCCATGAGTGGCGGGCCGGCGTGCGTGCATGCGCAGCTCCACTCACACAAGAGAAGCTTTGAGGCACCACTCATACAAGTGGGGATGCACGCGTGCCAGCCTGCCACTCACGTGGCCCTGTTGCAAATAGGCCACAACCTAGTAGTGGGCCACAGCGCACAGATTGGGGACCCCTGGCTTAGCGTATTGTCTGAACCCTGCTGGCATGGTTGCTGTATGGTTCCATATAAAGGCACTCCTCAACCTAGCACCATAATTGAGCCTATAATTTCTCTTGCTAAGGAAGACACGACCGTCTTTCTTGCCACAGTTGTGAATGAATCATTGGAGTAGTTAAGTTACTAACACGGTTATTAAGTGAATCCGTCTTCCTACTTGTCAGAAGGTCGCAAACAGGGAATCACGTGACCCTGGGACACTGCAACGGTCGTAAACAAATGGCACTTGCCAAGCATCTGAATTTTGATCGCATGATGCTGGTCGTAAGGGTGAAAAACGGTCATAAGTCACTCTTTTCAAGTGCCGTTGTAACTTTGAACTGTCACTAAAGGAATGGTTGTAAGTCGAGGTCTACCTGTATTGTGCAAACCCAGAAATAATATTGGGACCAGATTTAAGTAAGATGCATGGACCAGTTGCTGTGTTTGGGGGGATCTGCCTTTCTTCTTAGGCTTGTTGTTGTTGTTAGTTGCGAAGTCATGTCCGACCCCTCACGACCCCATGGACAACTTTCCCCCAGGCCGTCCTGTCCTCTACCATCTTCTGGAGTCCATTGAAGCTCACGCCTGCTGCTTCAGGGACTCCATCCAGCCACCTCATTCTCTGTCGTCCCCTTCTTCTCTTTCCCTCAATCTTTCCAGCATTAGGCCCTTCTCCAGTGAGTCCTTCCTTCTCATTAGGTGGCCAAAGTACTTGAGTTTCAGCTTCAGGATCTGGCCTTGTAAAGAGCAGTCAGGGTTGATCTCCTCTAGGACTGACCAGTTTGATCGCCTTGCAGTCCAGGGGACTCGCAGGAGTCTTCTCCAGCACCAGAGTTCAAAGGCCTCAATTCTTTGGCACTCAGCCTTTCTTATGCTCCAACTTTCATAGCCATGCATTGCAACTGGGAAAACCATAGTCTTGACTATATGCACTTTTGTTGGCAGGGTGATGTCTCTGCTTTTTAGTATGCTGTCTAGATTTGCCATAGCTTTCCTCCCCAGGAGCAAGCCTCTTTTAATTTCTTGGCTGCAGTCCCCATCTGAGGTGATCTTGGAACCCGGAAAGATAAAACCTGTCACTACCTCCATTTCTTCCCCATCTATTTGCCAGGAATTGAGAGGGCCAGATGCCATGATTTTGGTTATCTAACATTTATTTGGAGGACTCCCAAAATCGACAAATAGTTTTAGTTCAGGCCTTACAAGCCGAAGGGAAACCAAAAGGATGTCCATATCCACCTGCTGGTTGACTCTTAGCAGTTTCAATAAAGGAGAATATTTGCAGCTCAGGGTTGAAATGAGGGGTCCTTGGTGCTTTCTGCTCTGGGTTGTTTTCTTGCTGTTTCATCACCCACCTAGGCAACATCATCAGTGCAACTCCCTACTCCCTTCTGGCACTGATGATGTTACCTAGTTAGGTAATGAAACGTCTGCAAGAAAACAACCCAGATCATAAAGCACTAAGGACCCCTCTTAGCCGTTTACGAGGCATCTATAATAAATACTAACTGGGACAGTAGTAAGATAGGCTACTGTTTTCACCCCCTATCCCCCAGATGTGTGCTGTGGAATTTCACCCTCCGCGTCATGCTCACTCGGTAGGAAAAGCAGAAGTGAGGGTCTTGCACATACAACTCTACGGAGCTGATGGCACGAGCAAGTGAGCCAAACTGCAGATCAGTCGAAAAGATTGTGAATTGTCATCCTTGCCACCCCTTCAAATCCAACTTGTGAGGCTCAGCTGGTACGAGATTCTCCCGCCAGTGGCAAATGCTCTTCCACCCTCTCAATTGTAAGGAGAGTCTTGCATTGCCCCCAGAGGCAAGGTCAAAAGCGTGTCTTTAATCTCGTAAATGCTGTTGTGCGTGTTGCTAGCAAACAAAGTGCAGCCTGAGAGCAGACTAGGATGGCTGTGGGGTCGATGTGTAGAGCATACTAGCTGGAGGAAGGTTGCAATCAGATGTGGTGTCTCCATTTGGGAGACAAGTGATTCTCCCAAGAGCGGTACTCTGTTTCCATCACACAAAGGAACAGTGGCACCTGTTGCCAGGATTATGGAAGAGGGAGTTGAACCTTTTGGCGTGTTTTTTTCTTTTCAGTGTGTTTCAGCCCGGGTGTCAAAACGAGTAACACACTGAGAATGAGTCGGGCGGCCGTGTAACTTTTCTTAAATAAAATAAAAGTAAAACGATTCAAAACTGTCGAGAAGATCCAATACTCTTGCTCTAAATCCAGTAAGGGCTCTTTGGAGGTTGGTTATATAAACTGACTGGATTTGTAGGCTTTGACTAGCTTACTCGCTTGCCCATTTATATTCATTTATCTTTTTGGGGAGAAGGCACAGGCGGAAAATAAGAGTAATTCTTCCGTAAAGGTAAAGATGGGTTGAGCAAAGCTTAAATGAAAGAATTCTGGATTTAAGCACCCTCCCTCAAATCTCAGTCCAGGGAATTATTTTTTACACGGTCCAAGACCTTGGGCTGTTTGTCTGTTTTGTTTCAGCAGTAAGACTTCTGCATTCCAGCGATAGTTGTGTCATCCACGGTTGCTCTTCGGAAGAGGTGGCAGTTTTATTTCTCAGTATGTGGGATTGTGCTCTGCTCGTTGGCTTTAGCGTTGGCTGGGTATAGACAGATGGATCCCTAAATAGCCTTTCTCTTTATAGCCTGAGTTATGTTAGCCTTCTTCTGGGTTCACAAAAAGATCTTCAGTTTTTTTTGTGTGTGTGTTTTTAAAGTGACATCGCTATACAGGTAATCCTGGACGTACCACCCCACTCGAGCCCAACGTTTACATTGCTAAGTGTGACAGCTGTTAAGTGAGCTTTGCCCCATTTTATGACCTTTTTCGCCCCATTTGTGAAGTGAATCGCCGCAGTTGTTAAGTGAGGAACGTGGTTGTTAAGTGGAACGTTGTTAAGGTTGCAAAAGTGGATCAGGAAAACCCCGGGATGCTGCCACTGTCCTAACTCTGAATGAGTTGTCCGGCATCTGAATGGAAATCACGGGGATGTGGCGACAGTTGTGTCAAAAGTGGTCATAAGTCACTTTTTTCAGTAACTTTGAACAGTCACTAAATGAACTGTTGTAAGTCGAGGATGATAGGTAGGTAGGTAGGTAGGTAGGTAGGTAGGTAGGTAGGTAGGTAGGTAGATAGGTAGATATGGATAGATGGACAGATGGATAGAGAGAGAGATGGATGGATGGATGGATGGATGGATGGATGGATGGACGGACAAATGGATGGATAGATAGGTAGATAGATAGATAGATAGATAGATAGATAGATAGATAGATAGATAGATAGATAGATAGATAGATGGATAGATGGATAGAGAGATGGATGGA